CCAGCATTTTTAAAAAAAATTCTACCATCTTCCATTATTATATCTTGTTTTCTATCTTCCATTTTCTTGATCTTTCTTCAAAGCCTTGAGAATATTTTTCTTATCCTTAGTTTTTCTGTCTTGATCTCAGATTCCAGGGCATATTTTTTTTTTTAAATAAAGCCCTTTGACAGTAATTTATCACTATATTTTAAAGATATTCTTCTCCAATCTTATTTTCTGGTTTAATTTAAAATTTGCCTAGGTTGCCTATACTTTTTAAGCATTAAGTAGCTGTTAACTAAGCACTTCAATTGAATAAAAGCCTCATTTGTTTTTAAAAAAATCCTTAACTATCCCTTTTTAAGAATTTTAGTCTTTTATTTTCCTTTTTAAAGTCTAGTTATCTCTTCAATAAAAATAGCCCCCCTATCTGTCCTAACCTCCCTACAGCTCTGACAACAGAAAAGCTCGAGCCACTATTTATAGGTGGACATCTCACACTCTGGAATCTGCAGCTCCTTCCACCACCTACCTCAGAAAAAATAGTGCCTTTGCATACACAGGCCTGTAGGGGGAGAGGACTTGTTGATTAGTTGTATAATTAGTATTTTCTCCCAAACTAATACATGATTCTCAAAACATTGTTAAAATGTTGAGTCGTTATGCCCCCCTGAGCCTTTTTAAGCAGAAACCAATTTAGGAAACATTATGCAAGATTGATCCTTGTATTCTGCCCCAAGTAATTTATAATGTAACTTATAAACCAGAAATAACAGTTCATTTAGTGACCATTCAAAGTTACAACAGCACTGAAAAAAGTGACTTATCACCATTTTTCACACTTATGACCATTGCAACAACTGACTCATGAGGGTTGCAATGTCCAGGGGTCATGTGATCCCCTTTTGGAAACTTCTAACAGGCAAAGTCAATAGGGAAGCCAGATTCACCTAACAATCATATTGCTAACTTGACTGCAGTGATTCGCTTAAGAGTTGTGGCAAGGTCATAAAATGAGGCAAAACTCACTTAACACATTTTTCACTGAGCAACATAAATTTTGGGCTCAATTGTGGTCATAGTTCAAGGATTACTTGCATCTATACACTCTGAGACTAAACTGCAAACTTCATATTTGGTTTCTAAGCTAGAACACAAGGATTGCTGTATAACCTTGTTACAGAAAATGCCCCAATGTTAAGTTACAAAGTACTGCTTTTCCCCAAATGCCACTACTTAGGTTTTAAGTCAGCTTCTATTTTGATTTTAAAAAGGGGTTTATACCGCCTTGTTCTTTTGAGGTGCAATATGTAGCGCAAGTCTCCAGATCATCCCTGCAAGGTAGACCAGCCAGGGAATCGTCAAACACCTCCATGGCTTACCAGGATTTGATTCCTGAGAGTTTGCACCCCCCCAATACACATTAAATCATATGGGTTTGAAACTGCACGTCCTTAATTCTTTTAGTTGCTTTGTCCTCCAATGCCTCCAATGAGTCCAGATTATACCCAGCGTTTAACTTCATGCAATATTAGCATGGAAATCCGACCCGGGAATGGAAACCCAACCAAAAAGGGGTTGTAAAAAGTCCGCTCCTCCCTCCCAGCAGTTGGACAAGGGAGCTCGGCGGCCATTTTGTGTTCGCTCTCGGCGCAGACACCATCTTAACGTTGAGAGGAAAGGGGGGCGGGGCTCACGAGGCGCGGAGGGATACCGTGAGCGAAGGACGGGGAGGGTGGAGAGGCGATTATGTCGCAGCAGCGTCCGCTCCGCCAGGCGAAGGGAGGGGGAGCAGGAGCGGCTGGTTCTAACCGGCTCAAACCAGTCCTAGGCAGCCGGGAAGGTTCCGGATGCCGCAGGGCCGCAGCGCGCACGCGCAACTCTGCTACGCCGTTTGCTCCCCCATCCCTCCTGCTTCCGGCCTTTTCTGAGGGGATTTTTTTTTGACAGTTTTACTTTATTCACAATATGTGAAGAAATAATGTTTGTTACGTGTTTCAAGCAGGGCTGGTATATCTCCGTTTGCCTCGGGTGACAGAACTGACTGTTAGGCCTGAGTTTCCATTATTGTGTAAACATGACATAGGGAACCTGGGGACTGAATTCACCGCCCATTTTGTTGCGTTCATTTGTTAGCCTTCGCACTTGGGTGACCGAAAGCTCTTTAATTGACCTGGAGAAGCGTAAGGGATTAAAAAAAAACGGGCAAAGGGCTGGAAGAGATTTAAGAAGAGTCTGGACAGCCATTTGTCCAGAATGGGATATGTTGGAATGGACCTTGGAGGTCATCTAGTCCGACCCCCTGCTCAAACTTTTCTAGGTCTCTCCAAGGCAATATTCTTATGGGTCATTGCACCTCAGTTCTCACAAGCACCTTTACTGTATTTGGTTGCAACAGCATTCTCTTAACTCCCATAGGGTCTCCTGCTTTGGGGAGGTGGACTAGATGACCTTCAAGCTCCCTTCCAACTCTGTTATGCTTATTATTCCTCCCTTAATATTCCTCAACCACAGAAACAAGAATAATTTACGTCACTAGGAGAATGATTTGCTTGAATCATTCTAGTGATGTAAATTATTCTTGTTTCTGTGGTTGAGGTCTCTGATGTTTCATGGTAGGCCTTTTGGAAGGATCTATAGAGCATGGCCCTGAGGAAATATTAACTGGGCATTATGAGGCTTGATGTCTTTGTCCACTTTAGCTGTTGCGTTTCCCAGTTTTTGTTGTACTTCCAATTCCTTCCTTCTGCAAAGAAGATGGAAGACCTTCACTGGGATCTAGAACAGGTGGCGGAGGAGTCCAGAATAGTTTTTGACACTATACACCAAGATTTACTTGTGATTCTCACATGACAGTTGGAGATTAGGCACACTGTCTTGGTGCAGGTCTGTTACAGATTAACAGAGTTGGAAAGGACCTTGTAGGTCATCGAGTCCAACCTTCCACTCAAGCAGACCCTACGACACCATTTCTGACAAATGGGTAGTCCAGTTTCTTCTTGAAGGCATCCAGTGATGAAGCTCCCAGAACTTCTGAAGGCATCTTCTATCCCATTGGTTTGCTGTTCTCACTGTCCTTGGGTTGGGGTGGGGAAGGTGAGAAGAGATTGCCCTGGTAGGAGCTCATTTTGGGAGGCTCCTGCAAGATTCAGTGCCCTCACCCCTACTTTAACAGGATAATTGTTGCTTTGAAGACAGTTGCCATCAATATCAATCTCTATGGAGATTCTCAGTCATCCAGGTCCCAAAGGTGCTTTTTCAGGAGGCAAGAAAGTCCACTTGCCTTCCTTAAAAATCAACTTTGGGACATCAATATCAATATTTGCATTTGGATGGGGGCCAGATATGTTATAGAAATCAGATATGGTGTCTTGACATCTTGGTGGGATGAAAACAGGCTGGAAGGCAAATATTAACCAGATGCACGTTTTGTTTAGGGACTACCTGTGTGCTCCAGTCTTAACTTTGGATGGGGTGTCACTGTCAGCAAGTCCTCAAAATGGGGATCCTGCTGGAAACACAGTGGAGGCCATGGCTGTTGTCCTTTGCCCAGCTCTGGCTGGTGCAGCAGTTGCAGCTTTATTTAGAGCTGGACCTTATGACCCACCTGATCAGATCGCCACCATGTGCCACTGAAGATTACACAGAAACTTGACTACTTGAAATGCTGTTTCAGATACCCATGTTGTGGGTGCTCCATTTGACTGCTGGTAGGTTTCTGGCTTCAATTCAAAATGCTATTTTGATCTTTAGGGACTCTCATGGATTGGGCTTCTTAAATATTTACAGACCACTGTTTGCAAATACTGGTTTCTGCACTGGTCATAGTTGGAGATGCTTTTAGTCTACTTCATTTTGGAGGTTAAGAGGGGTACACTTTTCTGAGGTGGCCTCCATTGTGTGGAATGGCCTCCCTTAGAAATCTCACTTAATTTCCTTCCTAGATGCTTATGAGATTGATTAGACTGGGTTGGTGCCAATGGTTTTTGTCACCGTGACAATTTTACTCCTATATGTTCAGTTTTATAATTTGTTATTTTATCCAGTTTTATTTTTGTGCCGATTGCAGCGCAGAGATGGCGGTAATTAGCTGCCGCAGAAAATAGTGATTCATTGCTTGTGATTTTCCACTTTCATGGAAGGCTCTGCCTTTTTAGCTGTCTGAGTCCTAAGAAGGATATGGCAGCCATGTCAGGTGGGAATTCCTGGAGATGACTGAATTTACAGAAGATTAAGGAGGCTGGTGTTAGGGTGATGAAGTTGCCAACAATTCAGAGTCTGCACAAAACTTCACCACACCTCCCTTTATAAATTATACTACAATCAGCCAGGAACCCCAGCTTCCAAAATACCAAACCAAAACCATAGTGGAGCATACAGGGTATCTAAATCCCGATACTGAATCAAACTTTGAATTAAGCTGTGAAGTGTTTTTATCCTTGTCCATTAAATAAATAGTAAAGCTATGTTCCAGTTAGCCCCAAATTGTGGTTTACAAATCAATATCCCTGCACAAATGTGTATTTGTGCCATTGTGCACAAACATAAGGTACAGACTGGGTTAAAGGCCATGCTTAGCTGATGTGGGGCCTGCAGTTTCTGTGACTGAGGTGGGGGGGGGGGGAACCTGTTGTACCAGGCATCTGGAAGACTGAGTCAAGTAAGGATTAAAAAGAAAGACAGTCAATATTTTGTTCTTTGTTTATCTGGAAGGCTTTAGAAATCCAGCCTCTCGCCCTTCGTTCCAGACTCGCTGCATTCTATACATCCAGAGGAAAAAAAAACTTGCATGCTCACGTGTTGCTTTTCCAAACAGAATATTTCGCCTGCTCTGACAACAGCAACTGCAGAATTATATAAATGTGCAAACTCACCCTAAGGGTGGCTCCCCCCCCCCCTTTTGATTGCATTCTGTACTATGCGGCTATTTGTGGTAGCTTGGAGGGGGAGGATCTGTAAGATGGTGAATCAACAGCCGGATCTTGTTTTACTTCCTCTTCCACCCCCAGCCTCCTCCCCCCACCCCCCCATCAACACCACCTTCCTGGAGCGGCATGGAATTTTCCTCCATCCAGGCTTGTGCGTGTGATGAATGTGTGGATGCATGAGTTCAGTTCCAGGATTTCTGGAGGGCACCGAAAGGAAAGAAGGTATCCAGAGCTTTCTCTGTGTACCTGCCTTCTATGAGGTGAGATTAACAGGCACAGGGGGTTGGCTAGTGGGGACACCCTTTTTAGGAGTGCCTGGATGTGTGGGACTGCCCTAACTAGCTTGCAAGAATCCAGACAGCCACTAAGTGGCCAGCAAACAGAATACAGAAAGCCCTGTATCCTTGTTCAGTGATCTGGACTTTGCACCCAAGTGTGGCTTCCTTTCCCTTTTACCTTTTTTTCTATTTGATGTGGTTGTCCAGTGTTGTGTTAATTTATTGTTGATTGAGAGTCTAGCAATGATACTGTCAGTAACACATCTCAAAAGCTCTTTGATGGTCCAATGAGCAATACGAAAGAACCCACTCAGCCCCGAGGATCACAAAGCAGAAAAGAAGCCAAGATGGAGGGAATGTGATAGAGATCAAAAGAAAGAGGGTTGAAGGCGTGGAACATTTTTTAAGAGAGGCAGTGCATATTGTGCTTTACTGAATATTTTTATCTAAGTAGTTATGAGTACTGTTGTTTTTCCCTGTAAAAAAGCAGACAATAAATCCTAATAAAGATGATCACGTGCAGGTATATTCATTTGGAAAAGAGGCATTTGGCCAAGAAAGGTCCGGGGTTTAACTAAATGTTTTTCTCCATGACTACACGTGCAGTGCAGCATCTGGAGGATGAGGTGGCTTGGTTCTGGTCTACTGTTTCGGGGCAGAGAATCTTAAGTTAGTTTCCAGCCAGATCCCAGAGTTAGGTAGTGCTAAGATTAAGATGTGTTTATTGAAAAAGTTCCATATGCCTTAATGAGGGATACCAAGTAGGTGATTCAATAAATAGGATATAAAATATATGGCCCTATGCACTTGCTAGTACAGCAAGGAGGAAGCTCACAGAAGTACCAAGCTGATCAGAATGTGTTAAAGTGAGCGAATTTGTGCTGGAAAATGTAACTTTTTGAGGGGGACACACTCATTCAAACAAAAAAATATTTGCTTCTCTGTTTTTTTTCCTGCCTCGTAGATGTATCAGTAACTAAAATCTCAGTGTCATTATGTCTGGAATTCACTTTTTGCCTCAGAATAAAAGATGATGACATTTGGGGAGGAGGGGGGTGTACAGCAGAAATAGCAGGAGAAAGTATGTATTTGCAGCTCCTTTTTTGGTGCAGAATCCACTCTTATCTCTATAAAACCAAGATATTTGGGATAGTTATCAGGGACGCTTTATTCAGCATTTTCTGGGCCTGACCCAGCCTTCCCTAATTTCAATCCCAAACAGCTGGGATTGGGAAGATTTTTCTCACAAGGAAACCCTTTCCCTCCTCTAATGCTTTACAGATTGAGGAGCAAGTTAGGATGTCTTGGGAACACAAAACCGGACCATTTAGCAACATTTGTGTCATCTGACTAGTCTGGCATCAGTTTATTCCCAGGAACCCTGGTTACCAGTCATAGGAAATGCTGTGCTGAAATGGGTCAAGGCAGTATTGGTTGTTCATGTGGCCTTGGGAGTGGGTCTCTTCCTCCCTTGCCCCCTCTATTCCCATGTATTTCTTAGTAATTAGTAACGCAATAATCCTTAATAGACCCTCTTTCTTTAATGTATTTGTTTTCACATTTTGTGGCAATGACTTCCACAAAATGTGAAAGTTAATGATGTGCTGTCTGGAGAATCTCCTTGTGCACTTTTCTGAGTTACACACATTATTTTGGTCTTTTTTTCTGAGATATGGAAACCCAAATATTGTAGGGAAGACATTTGAGCCTCCTTTTGGTTTGTTTAATGTGTCACTTATCACTCAACTTTGTTTTCTTTATGCAGAAGTTGGCACGAGTCTGGGATGAATGCATGCTTGTTATCTGAGAAAGGCCTTGAATGCAGTCCCTTATGTTCTCACACTACTACAATCTCTTTTAAAAGGCAACCCAAAACTGTGGCTATACAATCATACTCCCTACAGAAGTGAATTAATTTTCCTTGAACTAATAATGTATGACACTGTCTTGCTTTATAGAACATGGTTGAATCTAAACCAGGATAACATAACTGTATGTATGTTATGTTTATGTATAATACAATGTTAAGACAATAGTTGTATTCCTACAATATGCTTGACAGAAAATACCCAACAGTATTTAGGCTCAACCTCTATAGATACTAAAGAGATCCATTCACCAAAAAGTGTAGAAGGCCAGAAACACTTCCTCTTAATAGAGAATCTTATCTATTCCCCTAGATATGTGAATACTTTGTTGCCGTTTGTACCTATTTAGGTGACAGTAAGAACAACAAAAAGACATTTCTTCAAAATTGAAACTGATCAGAATAAGCTGAGGGTTACAATGTCTCAAGAATGACTTTCTGGACATTGAATATCAAAAATTGAGACAGCTGCTAGACTTAACCTTAAATAAGTGGCATCCTTCAGCCTATACCACTTTTGGTAAGCAAAATAATTTATTTCTAATTATAAACATAATAAATGTGTGTAGAATAAATATTTAATATGAAATAGAATATATCGATTGAATATATTGATATTTAGAGTTTATTTACCTTTCCTGTGTTCTTGTATTTTATTGCTTGCAGTGTTCCCAGGCTCAGTTTGTAAGCCACACTGAAGATACAAAATGCCTAAACGAAAATGCGTCTTTACTGACAAACTGAAGCAGAAATATCCTCATTTTCGTAAAGGTAGAGATGACTATGAAGCAGAATGCTTGGTCTGCAAAGCTGGCACATTTGTGTCAGTGGCACATAAAGGTGCCAGTGACCTGGAGTATCACATGTCCTCTGAAAAGCACAAGAAAGCCCTTGGAGGAGACAGTTGGTCTGCAAAGCTGACTGAATTTTTGGGGACTCCAGGCACGAAAGCCGAGGATGCTCTTGCTGCAGCAGACAGCACACTACCCTTGCACACCATCCCAAGTTGCAACAGCTACAAATCAGCAGGCCGCACCTCTGAGTTGTTCAGAAAAATATTTCCTGACGCAGAGATAGTGCAAAAATTTTCCAACACCCGGAGCAGGACAGAAGCTCTTGAGAGCTCAGTGCTTGCCCAGCATGCAGTGAGCATTGACCTGGAAGAACACGGCATCCCTTTCTGCGGGGTGGCCATAGATGACAGCAGCCATAGGGCCATGAAAATGGTCCCGGTACTCATCCAGTATTACGACTACAGGAACGGCGGCTTGAAGACCAAACTCCTGGACCTTCAGGAAACGGCCACTGAGACGGATGTTTCAGATTCTCTTGTCAAAGCTCTTAAGAAACACAGATTGCTTCAGAAGTGCGTGGCGTTCGCGGGGGACAACTGCAACACCATGTTTGGTGAACTTCGGCAAGACGAAGAGGCGAGGACTGTGTTTGCCCAGCTGAAGAAATCCCTCCAGAGGGAGACATTGATCGGGGTGTACTGCCCTGCCCACATTTTGCACAACTGCATCCACCACGGAGCAGACGCCCTCGAGGTGGACGTTGAGAACATCATCCTAAAGATCTACCAGTACTTTCACATCTACACGGTGCGGACGGAATCCCTGCAAGAATACTGCGAGTTTGTGGAGGTGGAGTACAAGCGGCTGCTCTCCCACAGCAAGACTCGATGGCTGTCCTTGTTCCCCGGCATCACGAAGTTGCTCCAGATGCACTCGGCCCTGAAGTCCTTCTTCTTGGGCCAGAGCAACCCGCCCGCCGTGCTCAAGAGCTTCTTTGAGCACGAGTTCAGCGAGCTCTACCTTTGGCACATGCACTCGCTGATGAATGCCTTCCATTTGCACATCGAAGAGATGGAGCGGGAAAATAACTCCCTCGTGGAGGTGATGAAGACGCTGGACTCTGTGCACACCATCCTGCTGGACCGAAGAGCCCAGAACTTCATGTCCCTGACGGTGAAGGGGATGCTTGCAGACAAGCGCAAGGAGGGGCTGGAGGAAGGATGTGACGCCTTCTCCGATGCGGTGCGTCGCCTCTACAGTCATTGCATAGATTACCTGGAGATGTGGATGTCATCTCTGCAAGAGTTTTCTTGCTTCGCGTGGATGGCCCTGAGTGACACACCCAGCTGGAGTGACGTGGAAGCATGTATCACTTATTTGATTGAGAAAGGCGTAGAGATTGATGACATCAGGTGTTTTGACCAGTTCAACAACCTGAAAAAATTTGTGGAAGCTTCCAGTGATGAAGAAGAGTTCCAGCATCTGCTTTCACATCAAAAGTGGACTAAATACTTCCTGAAGGCCAAAGCCATTGAATGCTATTCAGAACTGTTAAAAATTGCGCAGTTCTTCTTCGCAATTCCCTCCCACAGTGTAAATATGGAATGGAGCGCTTCTTTTCATTGACACAACGGAAAGGATATGCTTGAATGGCCTTTCATTTAATTTTAAAAATAACCGTTGGAAACATTTTTGTGCGTGCTTTGTTCTGAAGAGAAATGCACATGCACACCACAGGAAATAACAGGAAAAGGCTATGTGTCTTTTGGGGCGTACCATCTATACACAGAAGAGTTTTAGGGCAGTGGCCCCCATCCTTTTGGGCACTAGGAACTGGTTTTGTGGAGAATGGTTTTACCATGGAACGGAGGGGGCGTGATTCCACGTGCAGCCTGCCACCCCATGGATGGGGCTTCACTTGTTTGCACAGACCAGTTTCTGGCATGCCGCAGCCCAGTGTAGGTCCAGAGACCAGGGATTGGGGATCTCTGCTATAGAGTGTCATCTATAATTAGAAGTATCAGTGATGGTTGTTCTGTTTTTGTCATTAGTTGTGGCCTTTAACCCCTCGTTACTGATTCAGAAATCTTTTCATTGAACCAGGTTTGGGATTGACAGCAAGTTATTTTTACTTTTGAAGGCAGTTTTGCGATGTCATGAAGTTGGCAGACTCACAGTGTAGCACAGAGCAAGATGTCCTGCAATCTAGGATCTTCTACCTGAGCTCTGCTATAAAGGTTTAATAACATCTGAAAAGCAGCACTCTTTTAGGAGTTGAGATTTCAATCCATTTCCAAGCTTAATAGCCAACCCTCTTTCACTGCTTAATAGCTGGACTGATGGATAAAAAAGCCATTTTTAAAAAGTTATTTTACCAGTTAGTGCTTCTTTGAAAAAAATACTTTGAAGGGGCTTTAAAGGCAAAAAACCCCTAATATTCCCCCCCCCTCTTTTTGCCCATGGAGAAATCTGGCAAAAGCAACAGCTACATCTGGTTTAGAAAGTCAGCTTCTGGTTGAAGAGCTAAATAATGTGCCAGAAGTTATAGAAGACTTCTCATTCAAAGAACATTTGAGCAACTAAGCTGAGAAGACAAAATAGAAGCAATGGATGAACCACCAAGGCACTGATCTCTTTAGAAATCCATAAAACCCAGAGAGAAGATTCCCAGTGCTGTATGATGGACCCTGCATTATTAATGAAGAATCTAATAAAATTCAACTATGGTACTCAACCATAGTATCAGGCCTGGGCTCAAGCAGTTCTGCGGTGCAGGAACAATTTTGCTGCTTGGAAGCTAGCAGAGGTCATTTAAACAGTAGTCAAATCCTCAAAATCAATCAGAAAAATGGTAAGAAATTTCCAAACTTTCCAAAAAGGAAAAAAGTAGGCTTTTTTTTTTTAATGGCCCTTTATTCACCAAATTAGTGTAAATACAGGTAATCCTCGACTTACGACAATGAAGCCCAAAATTTCTGTTGTTAAGCCAGGCTTCATTAAGTGAGTTTTGCCCCATTTTACAACCTTTCTTACTACCATTGTTAAGAGAATCACTATGATTGTTAAGTTAGTTACAAGTTTGTTAAATTTATCATTGACTTTGCTTATCAAAAGGTTGCAAAAGGGGATCACATGACCCTGGGACATTGCAACGGTCATAAACAAGAACCAGTTGCCAAGTGTCCGAATTTTGATCATACGATCATGGAGATGCTGCAAAGGTTGTAACTGAAAAATGGTCATGTCACTTTTTTCAGTGCGGTTGTAACTTTGAACAGTTACTAAATGAACTGCTGTAAGTTGAGGACTACCTGTATAGATTTAAATAAATAAGCACATTAACAAAATAATTTGCAATTAAATGTTTGAATTTGAGGTGTTCAAGTCCCCATTTCTTGCTTCTCTACAGATATTCATAAATACTAAAATCTGTGAAATGTAGAGATGTAGGTTTCTAACTTAAAATTGCAAAATTGAAATTAATGCCTTGATTTCAATCATCCAAAGGTTTAGAATGATTTCACACAAACCCTTCATGAGAGAAAATTAATATTCGGAAACCTAGAAGAAAGAAAGGAAAAAGTGGCTTTGGTGGAAGGTGGGAAAAATTAAGAGGCAAATATATTTTAAAAATGAAATTATAACAATGGTCATCAACAGTTAATTGAAGCTATATTACATGCTTGGAGAAAATCACAAATGGAATGTTTGCTGATTACAGTATTTCATTTATTATGAACTTTATAGCAAAACAAAATTGCTTCATATATTGTGTATTGGACTACAAAACCCATTAACCACAACCAGCAGGCTATGGCTAGCTGTACATGATAAGAATTGAATTCAGCATATTTTGAAGTCACCAAACTCCAAAAGTCCATCAGTGAAAAGTTAATTTCAGGTGATAACTATAATCCATCTTGACAAAATATTTACTACTTACTTAATAATACAGAAAAATGTGAGGTAGACAGATGTAGCTGTATCTGGCTGCCAAACCCCATTATCATCTAGTCCTCAACAGAGCTACACCTTTATGGAGAGAAGTAGTATTCTTCAACGTCTTGATAACAATTTAGAATGATAGAAAGGCAACTCATCAAATTTTCAGATGACACCAAGCTGTTAGGAATTGTCAGCACTTTAGAAGATAGGCTCAAGATTCAGAGAGAAGTTGAAAGACTTGAACACTGGCCCCTAGCTAACAAAATGCAATCCAGTGGCAAGAAAAATAAGGGTTTACACCAACGCAAGAAAAAAAACAAACACACAGGTATAGATCAGGCAATACCTGACTAAGCAGTAGAAGCTGCGAGAGGGATCTTGGAGTCCTAGTGGACAAACACTAATATGAGCCAGCTGCCAAAAAAGCCAACGCAGTCCTAGGCTGCATCAACAGAGGGACAGTTCCAAGATCACAGGATCTGCTAGTACTGCTTTGTGCTGCTCTGGTCAAACCACACTTGAAATATTGCCTCCAGTTCAGGTCGCCATGATATAAAAGAGATGTTGAGGCTCTAGAAAGAGTGCAGAAAAGCACTACAAAGATGATAAGGCATCGGGACTAAAACATGATGAAGAGCTGCAGGAACTGGGTATGTTTAGCCTATTGAAAAGAAGGACTAGGGGTGACATGATAGCAGCCTTCCAATATCTGAGGCGCTGTTACAAAGAAGAGGGAGTCAACCTATTCTCCTAAAACACCTGAAGGCAGGAGAAATAACAGATGGACATTTGTCAAGAAGAGATCCAACTTTGAACTAAGGAGGAATTTCCTGACAGAACAATTAACCAGTGGAACAGAAGTTGCCTTCAGAAGCTGTGGGGGCTCCATCACTGGAGGTTTCCAAGAAGAGATTGGACAGCCATTTGTTTGTCTGGAATTTGTGTAGGTCTCTAGAAGTCCTCCAAAATGCCTTCCGATTCAGTTATTCTGTATTCTATTCTGGCCATGGGAATTATACATTTGGAAGGCAGCGGGCCTGTTACAGATTATTAATTTGTTAAGAGGCTGATTAAGAAGCTTTTAAACACATCACTGTGTTTTAAACAGCCAGTAATGTAAAGGGTGGTTATTGTAGTTTCTTATATGTTGTGTATATACAATCTTCCTAACTCAATTATTGACTAAACCTATTTATATGACTTTATATAAAAGAAACAGCAAACTATAAAAAGAGCTCTCAAGAGGAACACGAATCATATTTAACTTGTGAATGCAGCTCCCCACATAATCTGATTAGGTTAAATGTACAAGCAGGGAACAAATATCTATACCAAGTTTTATGGATGTTTATGACCACAAGATAGCTGATTAAGCTGGTTTGAGCCCTCACAATAAATACATTTGATCCTTTCTGTTTAAGATGGACTTTTCTTTGTATGACCCGCAAGTCAAAAGAAGGAGAGGAAGGAGAGAAGAGAAGGAAGAGCAACCTGAAAAACCAAAATGTTAAAATCCTTTACAGCAGATGTGTTTCCACATCAAAAGGATGCAGCCGGTGTGGAAAAAAAACAACGCACATTTGTTTCCCTGAGCTGGAAGCTGCTTCAAGGCTGAACCAGAGGATGAATCACAGGCCTCTGTGATGAGACCAGACCTGCTTCTGATGCTGTTTGGGACTCAGATCCCGCCTGCCTGTGACACAGTCCAACAGGAAGTGGTATGTGATGAATGGAGACAATAAACTCTGTTCAACCCGACTGGTTTCTCCTGCTTGGCTTCAGGTAATGGTTGGATTCATACAATATCCTAACTTCCAAACCCAGTTTGCTGAAATGCAGTGGTTCTGTCCCCAGAACATGTCACGCCCCAGCTAAATAACATACTGGCTTAAAGACAGGTAGTCCTCGACTTACAACAGTTCCCTTAGAGACCTTTCCCAGTTAAAACAGCACTGGACAAAAGTGACATGACCAATTTTCACATGACCATTGCAGCATCCCTTGGTCACGTGATCAAAATTCAGAGGCTTGCCATCTGACTCATGTTTATGACAGTTGCAGCGTCCCAGGGTCATGTGATCCCCTCTTGTAACCTGACAAAGACAATGGGGAAGCCAGATAAATTTAACAACCATGTTACTAACAACTGCAGTGGTTCACTTAAGAAACATGGCAAGAAAAGTCATAAAATGGGATAAAACTTAACAAATTTCTTGGTAACATAAATGTGGCCTTAATTGAGGTCATAAGTTGAGGACTACCTGTCCTGGGAACTTGTTCCTACAAGTTCCCAGGACAGGTAGGTTCAATATACTGAACAATATACAGTACAGTATATTCAGTACAATATACTGAACCAAAAATGCTATCTTATTTTAAAGAGAACTACAGGAGAAAGAGTTGGAAGAGACCATCTGTGCTATCTAGTCAGTGAGACCACACTAGGAATACCGAACCCAGTTCTGGTCACCACAGTACAAAACAGTTGTATCATGTCTCTAGGCAATGTGCAGAGAAGAGATTATAAGAAGCCTGGTATGTTTAGCCTAATGAAGGGGTGAAGGGCTCAGGGGTGACATGTTAGCCATCTTCCGATACTTGGAGGCTTTTCACAGGAAAGGGGGGATGATTTATTTTCCAAAGCATCTGGCAAATGAGTTACACAAGCCCTTCTCTTACAATATTGTACAACATTCATGATTCATGGGTGGTTCCTATAACACATCCAACCTGGTTCCTGTTACATAGTTTTCTGGGTTTGCCTTATACAAACTGGGCTGAGCTGGTTGCACCTTTGCAAAATCATACACTCAACCCTAACCCTGGTTAAAACTGGGGAGGATTAGCCTGATCTGTGAATGCAGTTTTTTAGTTCTTGGACTAACCTAGTGAGCAAACCAGTAACTTGGTTTGAAGGGGAAATCCTGCTTCCATTAACATTTGGACAGCCTTCTCCAACATCCCACCCGCTCCAGCTCTCTGTCACATCCCAATCGTCTTTATCATCAGAGAGACATGCAAACAGAGAGATGTACAAACTGGGAGGTGAATTATGGTTCGTGTCACCATCAGCAGAGATCAGGAATGCTGCCCCGTGCTCTGCACCCTCTGGGTGAGTCACCACGAGGTGATCTGCAGAAGTGATGACTGGCATCCCTCAAGCCATACCTCAGCTATTGGCTTCAGCCAGGCTTCACATTCCAAAATGGAGAGGAAGAGCAGCAGGAAGAAGACAATTATCTTTGCCACGTCTGTATCCCTTCCCTAAACAGAGTCTCACAAACTACACATCCCAAAGGTGCTTTTTCAAGAGGCAACTGGAATTTCTGGTTTTTCTTTGAAGACTTTTCACTTCTCTTGCAAGAAGTTTTTTCAGCTCTGACTTTTCATGCCAAAGGTTAATTGGAATAAAGAGGGAAGGGACCTTGGAGGTCTTCTAGTCCAGCCCCCTACTCAAGCAGGAGACCCTATACCCGTGATGGCGAACCTTTGGCACAGGAGCCACAGGTGGCACGCAGAGCCATTTGTGCCGACACGCAAGCCGCAGGCAAACTTACCTCTCTGCACATGCGTGCGCTTCACAGTTGATTTTCAGCTGGTTTGAGGCCTTTTTCGGCCTCCCAGAGGCTTGAAAAAAGCCTCTGCAGGCCGAATAATAGGCCCGTTTCTTCACTTCCTGTAATACCGGAGTGATAAAATGGGCCTATTATTCATCGTGCAGAGGCTTTTTTCAAAAAAGGTGCAGGTAAGGGGGCAGTGTGGGGAGGATTGCGCACATATACGGAGGGGGTGTGATGGGGAGGCACATCGCTTTCTGGGTGTTGGCATGTGAGCACGCGTGGGCCAGCACGCACACAATTTTTGGCACAGGAGCCCAAAAAGGTTAGCCACCACTGCCCTATACCATTCAAGTGGCTGTCCAATCTCTTCTTAAAAAACTTCCAGTGATAAGAGCACGCTCAGCTTCTGGTGGCAAGCTGTTCCACTGGTTAATTGTTCTTTCAGGAAGTTTCTTCTTAATTCCAGTTTGCCTCTCTCCTGCATTAGTTCCCATCCATCGTTTCTTCTCCTGCCTTCAGGTGCTTTGCAGAATAAATTGACCCCCCCCTCTTCTTTGTGACAGCCCCTCAAATACTGGAAGACTGCCACCGTGTCACTCCTGGTCCTTCTTTTCTCTAGACTCTGCATATCCAGTTCCTACAGCCGTTCCTCATAGATTTTTGTCTCTTGGCCCTTAATCGTCTTAGTTGCTCTTCTTTGCACTTTCCCCAAAGTCTCATTATCTTGCTTTTACTAAGTTCACAGGTTATATGCAGATTTTCCAAAGCAACACTAGACTTTTTCACACTTGTCTTAAGCATTAAACCAGAAGGCATAGATTTTTTTTATGTGTGAAGGCTTGGAAACTTTGAGAACTGCAAACTCAAGAGTTTTGTGGCATTTTAGCAGAGAGCCAAGTCTAGAAATTTGTAGCAGCTGCTGACCCCCTCTGGCGGATCAGATTGGGAACAGCAACAAGGATCCTCAAGATAAAGTGTTTGTAAACAGTTGGACTTCACTTTGGAGCATGCCCAGTAATGTCAATCACAGCTGCCCTGTAGTGGCATGATTCCTTGTCCTTTCCAAAATGGGTGTCAGACCTGCCGCAGCCGGGTCCCTAGGAAAGAAAGACCCTCGACTCCATTTGGTTGAAGTGATATGTACTTTTACTAAGAGTTATTGGTTGCAGCAGAAGCAGGCTAGAGCTAAAGTTCCCACGCGAAAGGATAATCAGAATAGAGCTGGAAGGGACCTTGGAGGTCTTCTAGTCCAACCCCCCCCTCCACCCTCCGCTCAAGCAGGAGACCCTATACCATTTCAGACAGGTGGCTGTCCAGTCTTAAAAACCTCCAGTGACGAAGCACCTACATTTTCTGAAGGAAAGCTGTTCCAATGAATTGTCCCCTCAACCCATTGACTTTGCTTGTCAGAAGGTCGCAAAAGGGTATCACATGACCCCGTGACACTGCAGCCCTCATAAAAGTCAGCTGTCCATCATCCAAATGTAAATCATGTGACCCTGAGGATGCTACAATGGCCATAACTGAAAAACCTTCATAAATCACTTTTTTCAGTACCATTGTTAACTTTGAACAGTCACTAAATGAACTGTTGTAAGTGGAGGACTACCTGTACATGGTTCATATATGCTGAACATTGTGGAAAACCAAAGTCTAGGTTTAGTATGTTAAGCATGTTATAGAAACCCAGCCATTTTGTGAAACACTTCATTGATTGTAGAAATTTTGCCCATTATTTATCATTCTAATTTTGGATGGGGTAGCGATATAACACACACATACACACATTGGCTGGTGGTGTTTCCCCCCCAGTTGTAACTTACTGCATGTGCAAATACAGCCATCCTATTTTGTTAATATAGACCTATCCGGTTCCTGTGAATACAGTAGAAGGTCACATCCCACAATTAGCCTTAAAACACCTTTTGTTAATCTGAGCAGCCAACATTAATTGTGGCTTAGCCAAACATAAATTTAATCAGGGCAGACAGAAATGTGCCAGCACGTGGGAAACTAATAAATTCAAAGGAATAGAAACACAGGTGCCTTTTTTAATTCTTGTTTTTATTGCAACAACCCCCCTAGATAAAAGTCAACAGGTGGGCAAACAGAGTCTGAAAATGGAAGTCAGTTTGTTTTAAACAGGAAAAAAAGCACTTTTTTCCAAACAGAAATTCAGAGGGGATAGAAACCAGCGATCAGCCAGATGCATTTCTCTTGACGTTGGACAAAAGAGGAGCAAGTACCCCCCCAAACAGAACACAAATTTCAAGATCCAGGGGAAACAGAATGAAAAGACCCACCACCCCCTCCTCAAATATACAGTAAGTTGCATTCTGCCTGACAGAACACCTTGGGCACCTTCCTTCCCTCAAACTGAGCCTTGTTCCAAAGGTTTGAGCTACAAACACTGTAATTCTCAGACCAGACTGAGGATTGTGAGATAATTTCTTTCTTTTTCCCCCCCTCACACGGAATCACACGGAAGCAGGAAGAAATCAACAATTGGGGATTAAAACTCATGGCCAAACGAGTCTGGGGGAAAAAATGTAACCATGGCACTATGTAAGCAGGGAGAATGGATCTCTTACGGCAACTCTGCGGCATGCCAGGAACAAACTCAACATCTGGATATAAAGTAGCTTGGTACATTCTGACACCCCAACCTCTGTAAGACTAAACCCAGGAATGAAATCTGACACTAAGGAAATATACACAGGGAGTTGGAGATAGAGGTAGACAGCAAGTAACCCCTGAAGGCAGAATCAAGGATGCTGGCCTTTTAGTCACCTTGCCCCAAAGTGGTCTGGTCCCCTTTCTACCCCGGAACAAAATGGGGATCAGCCCTGTTCCAAGTTCTCAGCTGCCCGTACTGCTGAGTAGGAGGTAGGGGCATTCGACAGCTGACGGCCGAAGAAGGATGTCGTACGTCGAGGTTTCACCCTCTTGATCTCTTTCCCTGGAGCAAGGAAGAAGCACACACACACACACACACATATAAGTAGAGATACAGCAATAGCACATGGCCCCTAACTACCTGGGTCCTCATTTTACTGACCTCAGAAGGACGGAAGACTGAGTCAATCTTGAGCCGGTCAAAATCGAACTGCTGGCAGTGAGCAGAGTCAGCCTGCAATACTGCCTTCTAACCACTGCGCCATCATGGCATAAATAGCATAGCATAGCAATAAGCAATAGCACTTAAGACCTATATACCACTTCACGATGCTTTACAGCCCTATCTAACTGGTTTACAGAGTCAGGGGAGGAAGGGAGGGCAATAGCAATAGCACTTAGACTTATATACAGCTTCACAGTGCTTTCCAGCCCTCTCTAAGCCGTTTACAGAATCAGCCTCTTGCCCGCAGTCAGTGTCTGGGTTTACACATCACAGCCTAACCAGGGTTTGTTGAACATGTATCAGTTGATGCGCAAAACTGGCAACTATAATTTACAGATCCTATTGGCAGATATCACACAATCTCCAAATAAAATTTTTAGCCTTGTGAGCACATTGGGATTTTTGACAGCCTATTACAAATTTGGTTTCCATTTTTTTTTTATTCTTACAGACAAAAAAAAAATATTGCTAATCAATTTCCTCCAGCATCATCTTCTTGGACACAGATATTATGAATCTTTTACTGTTTTGCTATGCAATAGCATGGCTGGCTCAGGAATTCTGGGAGTTGAGCTCCATAAGTCATAAAAGGGCCAAAGTTCCCCACCTTTGCTCTATGTCTTTCAGCTTTCTGACACCACACCTCACTTGCATTATGTTTTTTTAATGAATAGCCAGCACTTTCAACGAAGCCTTGAACATTTCATTTTTATTTTTCACGAATGCCTTCAGGTTCCATGACTAATGTAGGAAATTCTGACTATGCTTAAAACTAGAATGTTGCTTTTCAGCACCTCAGTCTTCTATTCCCAGTCACCAGACTAGATACGAACAAGTAGATAGCTGCACCGTTTCTCACGAACAGGAAAGAGCAATTCTCTACGCTTCTTGTGTCCCATATTAGGTAACTGGGTGTAATGTGTCCTAAAGAAAATTCTATCTGAGCCGATTTGATTAATGCATTTTGCTAAGAAGAATGCTGTTGGATGAATGAAGAACAGATGCAACTGAGTATCATGTTTCTTAGAAAGCACCATTTCTCACAAACAGGAAAGATTCAGATTTAAGAGAATTGGAAGGGATCTTGTAGGTCATCTAGTCCAACCCCCCGCCCAAGCAGGAGACCCTACACCATTCCTGACAGAGGGCAGTCCAGTCTCTTCTTGAAAGCTTCCAGGGATGAAGCTCCCACAACTTCCAAAGGCAACATCCGTTCCACCGGTTAATTGTTCTCACTGTCAGAAAGTTTCTCCTTATTTCCAGTCTGAATCTCTCCTTGTTCAGTTTCCATCTATGCTTCCTTGTCTGGCCTTGGAAAATAGCTTGACCCCTTCCTCCTCTCTGTGGCAGCCCCTCAAATATTGGAAGACTGCAATTCTCTTTGTTTCTTATCTCCCACACAGTTAGGTTTTTTTTAGTTTACTTTATTGTCACAGCATCTCGTTACAACAAAATCAAACACCATCTTCAGTGCACATCATAACCATGAAACACACATCCTTCACCCTCCACACATTGAACCGAAAACCCCCGACAATGCACCAACACTGCACAAGACAGCAGAATTCAACAGAGCTCCTGCCCTGGGATAGAAGCTGTTTTTCAGCCTATTTGTCCTTGTTTTTATTATTCTGTACCATCTTCCAGATGGTAATAGCTAAAAAAAAAAGGGTTCCCAGAATGAGATGGATCTTTGAGGATGTTTTGAACTTTCTTAAGGCAGTGGGAATCTGTCATCTGCACCTCTATAACTGTCTGGTTTGGTTCAGCAACCCAACAGGACAGACACAGACTCCAGAGGGTAATTAGGACTGCAGAAAAAACAATTACTACCAACCTGCCTTCCATGGAGGACTTGTACCCTGCACGAGTCAAAAAGAGGGCTGTGAAAATATCTACAGACCCCTCACATCCCGGACATAAATTGTTTCAACTCCTTCCCTCAAAACGACGCTGTAGGGCTCTGCACACCAGAACAACTAGACACAAGGAGAGTTTTTTCCCGAACGCCATCCCTCTGCGAAACCAATCATTCCCTCAACCCTGTTCAACTATTACAAAGTCTGCACTACTATTACTGTTAATCTTCTCATCGCTCTTTATCACCCATCCCCTCCCACTTGTATGACTGTGACTTTGTTGCTTGTATCCTTATGATTTTTATTGACTGTTTCCTAGTATGATTTGATTGCTTATTGCACCCTATGACCCTAAGTGTTGTACCTCATGATTCTTGACCCTGGACAAATGTCTCTTTTCTTTTTATGGACACTGAGAACATTTGCACCAAGACAAATTCCTTGTGTGTCCAGTCACATTTGGCCAATAGAGAATTCTATGCTATTCTGAAAAAAAAAAAAAAGCTCTTCCAAGGAGAGGAGAGGGCAACCAACGATCCTCTGGGCAATGACGTTCACCCTCTGGAGTGCCATCCTATCTGCCACTGTGCAATTGGCAAACCATACAGAGGTGCAGTATTTAATAACTGGTTGTAAGGTGTCCTAGTAAAGAAAAATTCTAGCATGCAGACCCAACTGACGAATGCATCTTGCTAAGAAGAATGCTGCTGGGTGAATTAAGGCAATGGAGTATCGTGTTTCTTAGAAAGGAAACCTGCTCAGAAGCAAATGTTTTGGCTGGATATTTGCAGAGGCAAAGTTTTGGGAAAGGCAACAAACACCCTGCTCCAACCTCTCTCTCTCTTTTCACCAGCTTACCTTCCTCGACGTAGTCTATGGTGGCTAAACGTTGGATCCGGCTACAGAGCACGCTGCTCTGTCGCTGAATTTTGGCTAGCTGCTGATCAGACGTGGGCACTGCGGCCGTGGTGGGCTCCGAATCCAGCGCCCTGGTAGACGCGTTTAGCTCAATACAGTATTCGATTAGACTACTCATCAGTTCGGCCTGAAAAGAGAGACGCAGGTCCAGTTAATGCAGGCAGTCCTCAACTTACGACCACAACTGAGCCCAAAATTTATGCTGCTAAACAAGACATCGGTTAAGCGGGTTTTGCCCCATTTTACGACTTTTCTCACCAGAAGTTGTTAATCGAGTCACTGCAGATCTTAAATTAGTAACTGTCATAAAAATGAGTCAGTTGTTAAGCCCCTAAATGTTGATCAGGTGGCCCTGGGGATGCTGCAATGGTCATAAGTCTGAAAAACGGTCCCAAGTCACTGTAACTGTGAAGAAAGGTCACCACATTTTTCCAGTGTCTCTGTAACTTTAAACGGTCACTAAACAAATTGTTGTAAGTTGAGGACTGCCTCTTTATTTTAGCACTATGTGGGAGAACAGGGAAGAAAAGTGGAATGCCAGAAAGGAAAAAAAAAAAGGATACAGGCAGTCCTCGAATTACAACCACAACGGAGCCCAGAAAATAGGTTTAATTGTAACGTAAATTGTTATGTGACACCCATTAAAGTTTAACTCTCTCACCCAGCAGACACATACTTGCTTAGAGTAAACCTTGAGCAACTTGTTCACTTGTCGGCCTTCAGTTTCCCCATCGAATTCCAACCACAGGATATGTTCCTCCTCGCTTGGGAACGTGTGGTCCCAGGATAACTCCTGGAAGCGCAGGCCCAGCAAAACATCCTGCAAGGAAGGCAGAAAAGGTTTATCCGGGAGGCGAAACAACAGAAGGGCCTTCTGTCAACTTTGTCCCATCCAGGATCTGGGCCTTTATAGCCTTCCGAATTTAAAAGAAACCCCTTAGAGGTAGTCCTCGACTTACGACCACAAGTGAGCCCAAAATTTCAATTCTTAAGCAAGACATTTGTTCAGGGGTTGCTCTCTTCCCTCTTTGGAAGAGCTTTATAGCTCCCGCTGCCTTAAGAAAGTTCAAAACATTCTCAAAGATCCATCTCATCCTGGGAATCCTTTTTTTGAATTATTACCATCTGGCAGATGGTACAGGATATTAAAAACAAGCACAAATCGGCTGAAAAACAGTTTCTATCCCTAAGCAATAACTTATATTGAATTCTACTGTCTAGTGCAATATGAATGCAATATCAGGGGTTTTCAATTCAACTGTATAGAATGTGAAGGATGTGGATTTGTGTTTTATTTTTAATTATAATATGTACTGAAGATGGCATTTAATTTCTTTGTACAAGGTACAATGACAATAAAGTAAACTAAAAAATTTCGGTTCTTAAGCGAGACATTTCTTCACTGAGTTTTGCCCCATTTTACAACCTCTCTTGCCACAGTTGTTAAGTGAATCACTGCAGTTAACTCAGTAACAGGGTCATTAAGTGAATGTGCAAAAATGAGTAGATTGACAATGTCAATTAGAGAACAGGAAGAAAAAGATTATTACAAGATTTTGAATTTATTTTATGAATGGTTAGACAGAAGAGTAAGAAACGGAAACAAGTGATAATAGTAATAATATATTACAATTAATTGACTTAGACTGAGCAAGAGAATGAATATAATTTAGGTAAGGATGAAATATATTTTTGAAAGGTAATAATTACAATATTAATGATAATAATTGACCAATGCAAGATAGAATATTGATTAGAATGGTTATATATATATATATATAAACAAGTAAGAAATGTATGATAATATTTCTATGTGCACAGGATATAAGTACACAACCAACACACTATTGAACTGAAAGTTGGTTTTATTTGTTTGTTTTTGTTGTAAAAATAAAAAAAAACTTTTTTTTAAAAAAAGTGAACCTGGCTTCCCCATTTGACTGTCAGATCCATGTACCTGTCATTTCTTCAATGGAAGAAGAAAAGGGGGGGGGGGAGACTGATAAAGAAATCTTTCTTGATGTAACCTGAGTATATTTAATCTTATATCGAATTTGTATAACCTACACACGATACAATGGAGGGATGAAACCCAGATGGCCGGAACCTATCACCTCTGAGAGAGACAGTCAGGAGATGAAGAGACCATAAAAATTCGACAGTGAGATGTGTCCTGGGAAACTCTGAAAAAGATCGTTCTAAAAAGGGGGTGGGGGGGAAATTAATATGTTGGCTCTTTGTTTTAATAAATACACATCAAGATAAGGGGGGGAGGGGGTTTAAACTCCCGTATCTATCTCTGCATGCCTGAGAGACCTTAGATGCTGCTTTTAACCCCTACATGACCCCTCTCATCTCAATAAAGGATTCCTTTTTGATACGTTTTCAGAAGTTCATTCTAGTTGATTGAATGGGAAAAGTTCTGCAGCCTGACATTTTCCTTCTATGAAGGTTGCAAAAGGGGATCATGTAACTCTGGGGACACAGCCATCATCATAAATGTAAGTCGGTTGCCAAGAGCCTGAATTCTGATCACGGAGATGCTGCAATGGGTTGTGAATGTGACAAACGGCCTTAAGTCACTTTTTTGGGGGGGTAACTTTGAGCAGTCACTCAACAAACTGTTGTAAGTTGAGGACTCCCTGTGTTTTGGACTGTCTGAATTTTGATCACGTGAACATGGGGATGCCACATTGGTCATAAGTATGGCAAATGGTCCTAAGTTGCCTTTTTCAGGGCTGTTGTAACTTCGGTCACTAAATGAATGGTTCTAAGTTGAGGATCCCCTGTACTGAATAAGTGAGAGCAATCAACCAGTGGAATAGAAGTTGCCTTCGGAAGTTGTGGGAGCTTCATCCCTGGAGGCTTTTAAGAAGAGGCTGGGCTGCCCTCTGTCAGAAATGGCGTAGGGTCTCCTGCTTGGGCAGTGGGTTAGACTAGATTAGGCGTCTGCAATCTGCGGCTCTGGAGCCACATGAGGCTCTTTCAGTCCTCTGCTGTTGCTCCCTGTTGGCTGATCCTACAACTGGTTGGCCCCTCCCTATCACTCCTCACCTGGCCTGAGAAGGTAAGGGTGATGGCAGGGGATGGAGACTCACTCCATATTCCAGAGGAGGACGACTGGGTGGGAGTGAGTGACGTCGAGTTGGCTACACACCGGTTGTTAAATTATCGGCTCCCAGTGTTTTCTTTTCTGTGGGAAATGGGTCCAAATGGCTCTTTGAGTGTTTAAGGTTGCAGACCCCTGGACTAGATGACCTATAAGGTCCCTTCCAACTCAATCTGTAATCTGTCGGAAATGGTGTAGGGTCTCCTGCTTGGGCAAGGGGGTTGACTAGATGACCTACAAGGTTCCTTCCAACTCTGTTCATCTAATCTAATAACAGGCCATCTCATCCAACTTGCAAGTCGAATCCATAAAAAGGGTGAAGAATCCCCAAACAGCTCAGCCCATCTACACACCGCCGTCCCCGGTTTACCTTCTCCTTGCTGTCCATAATATAGACGCCCTCCAGGCTAATGGCCACTGTCACGGCTTTGCGTCCGGTCCGATGCAGCAACCCCTGAACTGGCTTGTCTATTTCCCCAAAGAAGAAGGCACAGCTGCAGAGAGAGAGAGAGAGAGAGAGACGAGGCAGAGAAGAGTGTGGTTATCATATGTGATGGAAATGTATAAAAGTAGAAAAATACTGGTGGAAAATAAGGGTTTGGATAGAAGAGATGGTTAACCAGAAAGCAGAGTTGAGACCAGAAACATTCTTACTGGGAATTGTTAATGAGAAATACATTAAAGGAATAATATATTTAATGATATATATAATAACAGCTGTGAGATTGGTGTATATCCAAAACTGGAAGAATGAAGATACCCCTACAGAAAGTGAAATAATCAGGAAAATATTAGTCTGTGCAGAGATGGACAGACTAACTTTAGAAATCAAAGATAAGGGTGAGGACAGAGGATTATGAAGTCTGGAGTAAAATACATTAATGGCTAGAGTCAAGGAAAAAGAAAGGAAGGGTTGACACTTTATAGGAATGAAACTTAAAGTTTTGTAAACCAAAGAGAATGGAATATAATGGACAAATACAAGATGATACGGATGCAGGAGTATAAAAGAGAGTGGTAAATGTGTAGATAATTGTAGATAAATATAGATAAAAGTAAATAGAAATAATATTCAGCTAGCACTATACTAATAACATAAAGGGAAAAAGAAAATTAACTGTTATGTGTATCTCTGTAATATAGCTTGTATGGCCAAAATGATGGCCAAGAAAGTCGCAACTCTGTTCAATTGTTTTTAATGTTTATTCAATAAAATTAATTTTGTTTAAAAAAAGCGTGTGCTTTGTGATTCGTGACCGAATGACGCCTTGCCAGAGTTCTCCTGGGCTTCGTGGCTTCACGTCCCACTCAAACCTACCCGTAGTAAGGAAGCTCGTGGCACTTTTGCAGGTAGCCATGGTACAACCTGAGCAGAGTGGTGTGTTCTTCGCAAGCCTCTGCCTCCGGGACCTCGCGAAAGGCCCGCAGGAGACCCTGCTCGCTGATGGGCCTGCGGGAGCCGGCCCGCTTCCGAAGGCTGGCAAAGAGCTTGTGGCCTCTGTGGCAAAGGTGGGAGGGCAAGAAACAGTCGAGCTTCTCCCTAGGAAGGAAGGAACAACAAAAAGGAAAGGAAAACGGAAGCTCCCACTCAGCCAGCGGTTCCCAGGCCTTGTTCTTCTACCTGCTTTCAAAACAGAATTGATAAGAGGGAGTCCTCGATTTAATGGCCACAATGGGCCCAAAATCTCTGTTGTTGAGAAATGTGTAAAGTGAGTTTTGCCCCGTTTTGCGACCTTTCTTGCCTCAGTTGTTAAGTGAACCACTGCAGTTGTTTAAGTTAGCAACCTGGTTGTTAAGTGAATCTGGCTTCCCCATTGACCTTGCCTGTTAGAAGGTCACAAAAACAGATTGCATGATCTTGGGACACAGCAAGTCATAAATGTGAACTAGTGGCCAAGCGTCTGAATTTTGATCAGGTGACTATGGGCATGCTGGAAAGGTTGTAAGTGTGAAAAACAGTCCTAAGTCCCTTTTTTTCAGCGCTGCTGGAACTTTGAACTGTCACTAAATAAACTGTTGTAAGTTGAGAATTACATGTACCTAAGCAGTGTGAGATTCCTGAGAAATAAAACCATGTGAGTTTTATTACTTGTGGTCCATTTCTGCTTTATTGTTTTACCCGTCAACGGGCCTGCTTGGGTGATAAATCAGGGGTCCCCAAACTTGGACTTCAACTCCCAGAATCCCTCAGCCAGCAAAGCAGGGGTTGTGGACTTCCCACATTGACTTTGCTCATCAGGTCGCAAAAGCGAATCAAATGACCTTGGGACGTAACCACCGTCATAAATACAAGTCAGTTGCCTGAATTTTGATCATGGGGAAGCTGGAAAGGCCATAATTGTGAAAAATGGCGGTAAGTCCCCTTATTCCAGCACTGTTGTAACCAAACAGTCACTAAATGAACGGTTGCAAGTCGAGGACTATCTCTACATGTTTTTCACAATTATATCTTAATTTTTCACCAATCTTACTCTCCCTCTGCTTTGAAGAAACCTTCCCAGCGTTAGTCTTGAGAAACAACATAGAATTCAGGGGTTGTTTGTGTCCCACCTACTTCAGGAAAGAAGCCGTGTGCTGCTGCGGGTTGTAGGGGCCCAAGTTGATTCGGCAAACCAGCGCTCCTAACGCGTCACAATCGGCCTGGTCACACGGATACCGCCCTTCCAGAATGTTGTACTTGGCCTCTTCGTACAAGAGCCGCAGAACGTCTTCATCCTGAATCTGGAGAAAAACCAAGACAGGGTCCCAAAGATCAGCTAACAACTTCAAGCCCAGGTGAAGACTGGTAGTCCTCAACTTTACAACAGTTCGTTTAGCGACCGTTCAAAGTTACAATGGCGCTGAAAAAATACGACTTACAACTGTTTTTCAGACTTACTGGCATGCCCTTGTTGGAGTCTGATTCTGAAGGGGAGATTGAGCAGCTGACAGGGAGTGGGAGTGGGGCTCTGCTGGCTGTGGAGAAAACTGGGGAAGGGCACAGTCCAGCTGGGCATTCAGAGGAAGACCCAGGCCCACCCCCTCTTCATCCTAGGGCACGCAAGGAGGAAAGGAGAAGGGAGCAACGTGGGTGGCGTGGCTTATGGGGGAGGAAAGGGCCCTGATTCCCTTCATTAGTTGCAGCTGGAAGAACAGGATATAAGAGGGGCGTTTGCACACAGCTCCTTGCTGGAAGCAAAGCGGGCATTAGCTTTGTAAGACTTATCTGGGTTTTGGCATCCTCCCAACTTTGTGTGCTGCGTTATCCTTTGGAAGTCTGCAATTTATCATCCTGGCCTGCCGTGTTAATTCCTTCAGGGTGGTTTGTATTGGTTTTTTAAAATTTCTAATTATCTTTACTTAGGGTTCGGACTGCATTTCTTCCTTTCATAGACTGTTTTTGGAAGAGTTTGATCTTGAGCCGAGGAAAATTGGACATTGGGGCCAAGTTGTAGGCATTAAAAGGAATTTATTCTACTTTTGTGACTTTGTTATTTTTGTGTCACACCCCGGATCATCACACATACTTAGGATGGTTGCAGTGTCGCAGGGTCATGTAATCCCCTTTTGCAACTTCCTTAACAAGCAAAGTCAACCAGATTCATTCAACAACCAGGTTACTAACTTATCAACTGCAATGTTTCACTTAACGGTGGCAAGAAAGGTTGGGGAAAAAAAGAGGGGGGGGAAATTCACTTAACAAATTTCTTGCTTAACGGTAGAAAAAGAAAAAAAGACTTCCAAGAGCAAAGAAAATGAAGCTCTATTGAGCAAGGATTAAACAATATTTGGGTGTCTGAAAAGAAGTGTTAAAACTTTCTGCTGTGGTTCTAACTGGCAACTATTCAACCCATGGGGTGGGTATACAATAAGGACTGGAAGGCCACATCCTGCCCTAAACCTATAAATGGATTTTGCAAGCATGAGCTGGACTCTCTTTGAACTTACCTGCAGCTCCTTCCTTCTCAAAAAAAAGATATTTCTGCGGAATTGAAGCGACGGTTCATCTGCGAGAAAGTCAGAGAAGAAAAACAGGACAGGCTGTGATTTAAAATCCTGGTTCTGCGGGGAAGAATTTAAGGCAGGCCTGGCCAACCCCCACACACACAACTTACGGGTAACAAAAGAGAGATCTTCTGTATGCATTAGTCCCAGAATTGGATTATTTACTTTTTACCTACTTTGGAAATGATTAAATCCCCCTCAGGGGTTGTGGGAGCTTCATCCCTGGAGAGGCTTTTCAAAAAAAGATTGGACTGCCATTTGTCAGAAATGGTGTAGGGTCTCCTGCTTGGGCAGGGGGTTGGGACTAGATGACCTACAAGGTCCCTTCCAACTCTGTCAATCTCCAGTCTAAACCTTGTTCTAGCAGTTCACCTTAGAGGAATACAAGTAGCCCTCAATTTACAATGGTTCATTTAATGACTGTTCAAAGTTGAAACGGCACTAAAAACGTGAGTTATGACCATTTTTCACACTTAGGACAACTGCAGCATCTCCATGGTCATGTGATCAAAACCCAGACACTTGGCAACTGACTGGTACTTATGACAGTTGCTGTGTCCTGGAGTCATGTGATGTTTGGACAAGCGAAGGGAACAGAAATTTTGAGCTTCATTGTGGTTGTGAATCGAGGTCTATCTGTAAATACGTTCCATAAACTTCCAACAGTATAAACCACACACCATACAATCCTCAACTGTCGATTAGTCATTTGGTCATGGTGTGAAGTTCCAATGGCCTGCGATGCCTCTGCCAGCAAAAACGGGGCCCAGGGGGTCTCACGCATAGCCCACCCCGGCTCCATTTTCGCTGGCAGAGGGCTATCAAAACAAACTAAAAACAAAACAAAATGAGAAATGTTTCTTTGCCTTTTTCATTTGAGCAAGCCAGAAGGGACGGGAAAGGAGAAAGGGAAAGATGAAAGACAAAAAGAAGGGAAGATGGGAAGAGAGCAAGGAAGGAAAAATAAGGAAAGAGGAGAAGGAAGAAGGAGAAGAAAGAGGGAAGGAAGGAAAGGAAGGAAGGAAGGAAGGGAAGGAAGAAGGGGAGGGAGGAAGGGAGGAAGGAAGGAAGGAAGGAAGGAAAGGAAAGGAAAGGAAAGGAAGGGAAGGGAAGGGAAGGGAAGGGAAGGGAAGGGAAGGGAAGGGAAGGAAGGAAGATTATGAGGGGGGCGGTTCTGAGGGAAGTCCTGTCTTAGCACTTGGCCACCACAGGTGCCCTGACACAAGTGACACCAAACTGGCCACGCCCCCCCAGCCACACGCACTCCTCCCAAATCATTCACAACCCTGATGTGGCCCTCAATGAAACTGAGTGACCCCCCTCTTGTAGGTGCAGAACTGGAATGAAAGAACAGCTCTTTTTTTTGTAGGATTAGAGAACGGACTTTTGTACGTATCCCATTTGCCCAGGGGAGCTGCAAAGCACCTTCCATGATCTCATCCACAGAGCAGCCGGTGAAACGGAAGAGCAGCTCTTGCCACTGCCGGCAGATCTTATAGGGTTGGTGTTTGGGTTTCAGCTGAACCTCTGCAAGACAGAAAGAGAGGCGCGGATTCAGCCGATGCGGGTTGATTAACAACACGCTTCCACTGAGTCCCAAAATGACCTTGCAAAGCAAAACTAGTCCTGGTGGACGATCGCTGAAACATGAGCCAGCTGTGTGCGCTGGCCGCCAAAAAGGCTAACACAATCCTTGGTTGCATTAACAGAGGCATAGAATCAAAATCACATGAAATATTAGTACCGCTTTATAAAGCCTTCGTAAGGCATACCTGGAAGACTGCACTCAGTTTTGGTCCACCACATTATACATATTAAAAAATGAGACTTTAGAAAAAGTGCAGAGAAGAGCAGCTAAGATAATTAAAGGCCTGAAGACTGAAATATATGAAGAACGGTTGCAGGATTTGGGTATGGCTAGTCTAGAGCAGGGGTCGCCAACCTTTTGGACCTCAGGGACCACCAAACTCATAATTTTAGATCCCAGGGACCACTAACCGGTTCTGTGGGTGTGGCTTAATTTGTGGGTGTGGCTTGGTGGTCATGTGACTAGCTGGGCGTGGCTTGTATGTAAATATTATAAATATTTATATAAATATTGAATTTTTTATTTTAAAAAAGAGCTACTTTTACCCCAAATCAGGCAAAGCAAGCAGATTGAGTTGCTCACAGAATCATTCAGTGTTTTATCTATCTGCCATCGGCTAGCTCAGTCTTTCAAATTTGCTTGCTGTGAGTCTGCATTGAATTTGCTTGCAAGCAAACCTTCAGTCCTAAGGGAGGTTTGGCTGTACTGAGCCGAAGATCTAAAGGCTAGCGAGAAAGCAAGAAATCCAACCATTTCCTGCTTCCTAGCTAATCTAAATCGCCCGGCACAGCAGAACAGATGATGGTCGGAAAAAAGAAAAATAGCAATTTAGCAGGCAAGTTTACCAAGTAAGAAGTGAGTGGGTGGGGAGGATCCCCGCGGGCCATGTGGGCTGCACAGCCTTGTGTTTCTGCGCAGCCTGGATTAATTGCTTTGGGGGGTGGTGCTCTGGGGGTGAGATTTCTCTGCGGCCCATCAAAATTTTCTCGCAGCCCACTCCACCGGTTGGCGACCACTGGTCTAGAGAAAGAAAGGACTAGGGGTGACATGATAGCAGTCTTCCAATATCTCATGCATTGTCATAAAGAAGAAGGAGTCAAGCTATTCTCTAAAGCACTTCGAAGGCAGAACAAAAAGCAGCGGATGGAAACCCATCAAAGAGAGAAGCAACCTGGAACTAAGGAGAAATTTCCTAACAATGAGGACAATTAACCAGTGGAACAGCTTGCCACCAGGAGCTGTGGGTGCTTCAACATTGGAGTTTTTAAAGAATAGACTGGACAGCAGTTTGTCTGAAATGGTATAGGGCAAGGGTCTTCAAACTTGGCACGTTCAAGACTTGTGGACTTCAACTCCCAGAATTCCTGAGTTCACATGACTGGAGGAGGAGGAATTCTGGGAATTGAAGTCCACAAGTTTTAAATCTGTCAAGGTTGAAGACCCCTTATCTATCACCTATCATCTTTCTCTCTCCCTCTCCTTGTGCCTATCAATCAATCTATCATCTATATATCTATGTATCATCTATGTATCATCTATCACAAGGGTCTTCAAACTTGGCAAGTTTAAGACTTGTGGACTTCAATTCCCAGAATTCCTGAGCTAACATGACTGGAGGAGGAGGAATTCTGGGAGTTGAAGTCCACAAGTCTTAAAGCTATCAAGGTTGAAGACCCCTGCTATAGGGTCTTCTGCTTGAGGAGAGAGTTGGACTAGAAGACCTCCAAGGTCCCTTCCAGCTCTATTCTGATTGATTGATTGATTGAAATCCAAGGGAATAATTTATGGCAAACATGCTGAGCCAGCAAAATAAAGGACCAAGGTTGCCACAATCCAAGTTTAGCACGCTGCATTTACAGCCTCGAGGTTTGCACCTGGCATAGTGAAGAGGGTTATGTGAGCACAGAGCCAAGGAAGTCTACAGAGAGGGCAAAACCGTTCGGCTTTAGTCTGGCTGCCTGGCAACCGCTTGCCCTTCACATCTCTGCCCTCTCAACCAGTGGGGCTGCCGAAGCGCGACCCAGGCCTCTTTGGGCAGGGTGGGGAAAGAGCGTGGAGTCTTACCAAGGAAGGGGGAGATGAGCCACAAGGAGAAGATCTCCAGGGCACATTCGGGCAGCTTCAGCACATCCAACACCATACGGTGCAACTCGTGAGCAGTGACGGAGGGTAGGTTGTCCATCGTTAGACGCACCACAGTGTCATCCACAAGATAAACCAGGACATCCTGGGCTAAAGCGGAGAGAAAGGAAGAGTAGTAATAACACTCAGACTTATATACCACTTTGCAGAACTTTACAGCCCACTCTAAGCAACTTACAGAATCAGTCTCTTGCCCCCAACAATCGGGGTCCTCATTTAACCAAACTCGGGAGGACAGAAGGCCGAGTCAACCTTGAGCTGGTCAGGGTCAAACTGTTGACAGTGTGCAGAGTTAGCCTGCAGTACTGCATTCTAATCATAAGGAAGGGAGGAAAATAGCAATAACTCAGACTTATATACTGCTTCACAGTGCTTCCCAGCCCTCTCTAAGCAGTTTACAGAGTCAGCCTCTTGCCCCCAACAATCTGGGTCCTCATTTTACCCACCTTGGAAGGACGGAAGGCTGATTCAACCTTGAGCCTGGTGAGATTTGAACTGCCAAATTGCAGGCAGCAGAAGTAGCCTGCAGTACACACTGCATTCTAACCATGCCTCATACGAAGAACAGTTGCGCTATTCACACAGCACACAACCCGATGACTGAAACAATTTGATTTTCTATGATCCCACAATTCCTTAAAACAAAAAATAAATCAATCTATCCCCCAAAATGAACTAATAAAGCTTCTCATATTATGTAAATGCTGGGTCGTTCACGAGAGCCAGTAGTGAAGTGTTGTGCAGAACCAGGTTGGCAAGGACAGAAGCAAAACTCCGTTACTAAAAAAAATTAAGAACACAGACAATCCTGAACAGGATTGGCACCACTTTGGTGAACGTCACTTACTAAAATCAATATGTTTATGACTTTACAGCATTTTTCATTTACATGATTAACATTACATGTGGTTTTGCTTTCCCTAACCCTTGAAGATAGGAGAAAAAGGGATTACAAGAGAGTTAGCAGGCTCACAATGCAGAATAAACATTGAAAGGCAGGAGTTGGCACCAGCATCTTCAAACCCACTATACAAACAGCCCAGCGCATTCCAAATTGTGTGCCTGCTGACTCTCTTTTAATCTCTTCCTCTCTAATCCCTTCCTCTCAAAGAAAGGGGTGTTAACCAGAGGTGGTATTCAGAAGGTTCTGACCAGTTCTGGAGAACAGGTAGCAGAAATTTTGAGTAATCTGGAGAACCGGCCAATAACACCTCTGACTGGCACCGACTCCATCTCTTCTCTGCCTCCCACTGAGTCCCAGCTGATCGGCTGGGTCTTCTTTGGTTGCCCTGCACAGGAGAACAGAGCTGGAAAGCAGGTTAGTGGGGTGGGGAGGGAATGGGGATTTTGCAGTAACCTTCCCCCTGCCGCACCCACCAAGCCACGCCCACCAAACCATGCCCACAGAACCGGTAGTAAAAAAATTGGAATCCCACCACTAGCGTTAACAGGTTAACATTGTCATGGGTATGCATTCATGGAGGCCTCCATCCTTGGAAGTCCTGAATTTGCAGGTGGAAGCTGTGGTGAGACATGCTTTGCATTTTGTCTCCAGGGCATTGCTTGAATCTGTCTGCAAATATTCTGGTGGCCACTCAGACTCAATAGGACTCTTATAAATGGGGCATAGTGTGACTGTGGGGTGTGACCATGGGGTCCCTCATCAATTCGTAGATCACATCCTGACCAGCTGTAAACTGAGGGTATCTACCGGTCCAATATCTGATTAATTTAATATCAATGATGCTGTGCTTCAATGGTTAGATGGCCTAGACCAGGGCCACGCCCATGCCCGGCTTAGTGAAGCGGGGAAAAGTTGCAATACGTCACGGGACAAACTGTGAGGACGCGAGTTGGATACCCCTGGCCTAGACACTGGCTTCTGAATATAGATCTTTTTAACATGTACATTTTATTGTGCTTTACTAATCTAAGTGAAACGGTAATATATTTTACTAGTCCCTGTATGATATGCCATACAGTAAATAATTTAGGAACATGTTGATTTTCACTCATATATCCTTTGGGAGGGGGGAGGCAGGGGGCATTTTCCTTTCACTCACCACGAGGACCGGTGGAAGAGACGCTGCTTCGCTGAGAGCCTTGGTCCCCACTGGGGGGGACCATAAGTTTGTCCCCCTCCATCTGTAACCCAAAAGCTAAGAAAAACAAATTGCATGCTTGAGAACAGACTAAACAGATTAAACATATGCACATATTCTTTTCTAAGCCTAGCCAAAATGCTAAAATGTTAAAATGAGAATTGACTTATTAGGACATTATTAGGACATAATTATTAGGACTTAATAGGTCAATTTAGCATAAAAACCTACACAACATGCTATGACAAGGGCTGGATTTCCCCAATTGCAACAACTTGCAACAGTTCATTTACTGACCAGACAATTGAACAGGACACAACAGGGTTGAAAAAAGTGACTTATGACCATTTTTCACATGACCTTTGTTGTCCCCTAAAATGGGCTCCTTGCTTGGTGTCGAAGCCGATAAGTCACTGGGCACAAGGTGTGGTACAAAGTTATGCTTCTATTTTGGTACCAAGATGTAAGGACCCTGGCTCAAAAGCTAGCCAAGGGCCTCGATGAGAACCTTAGAGCAATTGTTTGGAGTCAAATGGTGGTCGCATTCAACCATTGCTTTTCCCCTAATAATGCATGCATAACTGATAACATTGGTTATTTGGATCTCAGCCCTCTCCATAGCTAAATGTCACGTCATCTGTGTTTCACCCCAGGTCACGGGTATCTTGCAAAGTATCCTAGTTTTATGTGGTTTTGGGGGGTTTTCTTATAAGCAAGCTATTCTTGTTTAATATTCTTGGCTAGAGGTTTAAGGTGTTAACTTCTGCCTCGCTAAGGATCTGCAATTCCAACCCCTTTCCTATTGCAGAGCAACTCAAGGTAGCACCCCCACTCCCCGGTGACACCCCCTTTCCACAGAGAAAAGTAAAAGCAGTTTTAAAACTTTGTCTGAGGCAGCACCCCCTACTCCCCTGCACCCCCTCCCCTTCTGTAGAGAGAGAGAAGACAGGAAGGAGCCAGGCTGCTTAAGGCAAAGAAATGAAGACAAGAGAAAATGTTTTTATCAGAATGCATATTCCTCACTCTCATGTCCATTCCATCTATACCAGGGTTCTATCCCTACATACGCCCCTTCCTCTGATCCCCAGCGCTTCCTCTGTACATACATGCCATCATCTGATCCCTCACAAGCATCCCTGGGGTTACCTGATTTATATTCAGATATTTGGCAATTGACTCATATTTACGACGGTTGCAGTGTCCCAGGGTCACCCTTTTTGCGAACTTCCGACAATAAAAGTCCAGATTCATTTAACAACCGGGTTCCTAACTTATCAACTGCAGTGATTCCATTAACATCTGTGGCCAGAAAAATCGTAAAATGAGGCAAAACTCACTTAATGACTGTCTTGCTCAGCCACAGAAATTTTGGGCTCAATTGTGGTTGTTAAGTCGAAGACTACCTTCATTAACAGCAAGAGAATAATCATGATGTAGCAAACCTAAGAGAGGGAGGTCGAAGGCAAGGCAAACTAACTACCTGGGATTAAGGAAACTATTTTCCACCTATATTGGAATCAAATAAAAAAGGGCTGAATGGTAATAAAGGTCTCGTCCTAAGAAAACAGGAGAGTGAAACCAGATGGAAGAAAAACCCTTCCAGGACTGATGATGTTACATAGTTGGGTCATGAAACGTCTGCAAGAAAACTACCAAAAAGTCTGCTTCTCCTCTTCCTCTCCTTTTCTTCCTCCTCCTTCTCTTTTTCTTCTTCCTCCTTCTCCTCCTCTCCACATCCCCTCTTCCCTTCTAGCACTGATGATATTCCCTAGTTAGGTCATGAATCGTCTGCAAGAAAACCTCCAAGCTCAGAGTTCACTAAGGATCCCTCCTCCTCTTTTCCTTTTCTTCCTTCCTCTTCCTCCTCTCTGCAAACAACACTTCCTTCTAGCATTGATGATATTCCCTAGTTGGGTCATGAAACGTCTGCAAACCACCACCACCCCTCCAAGCCCAGAAACCACCAAGAGACCCCTGGAACAAAATCCCAAACTTTTCCTACCTCCTCCGCGCTTCCTTGTTCAGCTTTTTCTGAAGTTGCGCTAGGACCCCACCCTATCCAACACGACGTCACCCCTTTCCGGTTAAATCATTGGCTGCGCTCCTTGCTCTCCTTCCCCCCCCCTCCTCTGCCCAATGAGGACATTTTGGGCGGAATTTATGTTAATGTACAGGCCGCTAAGACTAGCGGACTTCAACTCCCAGAATTCCTCAGTCAGCATGGCGGGCTGAGGAATTCTGGGAGCTGAAGTCCACAAGTCTTAAAGTGGCCAAGGTTGGAGACCTGCCTTTATTTTTATTTGTTATTTTGAAGAACTACACGCCTCCACCCCTCTCCGTCGCCCTGAGAATGAACGCGGGCGGGCCCCTTTGGTTTACTGCCCCCTCCCCGCCCACGGAGCTATGTTGACGTCATCAGAGGACTGGGAGGGGCCGGTCCACCCAAGCACAAACTGTGGGAACCGATACGAGTGAGTGCGCATGCGCTCATCTGGCCCTCCCTTCCTCCCTCCCTCCTTTCTTGCATTTCAAGGCGTGTTCCGGGAAAGACGCTGGGCGGCTTTAACGACTTGCGGACTTCAACTCCCAGAATTCCTCAGCCGGCAGGTTGCTGTTAGTGGCCCGTCTCCAGCAAGGCTGAGGAATTCTGGGAGTTGAAGTCCGCAAGTCGTTAAAAGTCGCCCAGGTTGGAGACCCAAAGGGGAAAAAGATGCTCTCGGGGATGGTGCGTTGCGAGTGAGCGGCTTGAGTGTCCGCCTTTCTGCTCGGCTTTTGTTTCTTCCCGGGGGATCGGCGTCCTGAAGGTACGTTGATCTCGAGCCACGATTGCCTGCATTCCCACAACACGTTAAACCCAGTGGCTGAATTGCCCCTTTTTCTGCAGGGGGAATCAATCAATCAGAATAGAGTTTGGAAGGTACCTTGGAGATCTTCTAGTCCAACCCCTTGCTCAAGCAGGAAACCCTATACCGTTTCAGACAGGTGACTGTCCAGTCTCTTTTTAAAATCCTCCTCCGTTGTCAGTTGATGATCCCATCCGGGGTTTATGCACACAGACTTCCAAGAAACAAAGATAAACGCTCTTCTTTAAAAACAAACAAACTAGCCTTTTATCTAATCCACCAAACGGGATTTGCAAAACAACCTGAACCATAAAAGCTTTTTGGGTGATCTCGATTGTGCAGAGCCACAGAGAGAGAGAGAGAGAGAGAGGGTGGAAATGGCTGGGCTTTCAGGTTAAAAGGAAGAAACTTTTGAGAATCCATGTGCGTCTTCTTCATTTAATGACCCCATAATCCCTTGCAGGGTGGAGTCTGGGCAACCAAATGGAGCTAGCAGAGAGTTTGAGTGGCCGGATGCCTTTCCTGTCACCAATGCGGAGTTGGTTCAGCAGATATATTCTCAATGTGCCCAGAGAGAGAAATATCTGCCATAGAGCAGGGGTGGCCAAACTCATAATTTTAAATCCCGCAGACCATTCATATGAATTTTGACTGACGGTGGCTTGCTGACGGTGGGAAAGTCGGTCCCATATTCTGGTGTTGTGTTCCTGCACAGCCTGGATTAATTGCTTTAGGGTGGGTGTGCTTTGAGGGGGGGACATTTCTCTGCAGACCACCAAAATTTTCTCACAGACCATCAATGATCCGCGGCCCACCGGTTGGCAACCTCTGCCGTGGAGCAGGGGTCGCCAACCTTTTGGACCTCAGGGACCACCAAACTCATAATTTTAGATCCCTGGGACCATGGACTGGTTTTGTGGGTGTGGCCTAATTTGTGGGAGTGGCTTGGTGGTCATGTGACTGGCTGGGCATGGCTTGTATGTAAATATAAATATTTATATCAATATTGAATTTTTTATAAAAAAAGTGACTTTTACCCAAAATCAGGCAAAGCAGGCAGGCAGATTGAGTTGCTCACAGAATCAGATTCATTCAGAGATCTATCTATTTGCCATTGTCTACTCAGTCTGTCACATAAAATTTGCTTGCAAGCAAACTCATAAAATATGCTAGCAAGCAAACTCACAAAATAACCTCACAACACACCATGCATGTAAATATTGAATTTTTTATTTAAAAAAAGAGCAACTTTTACCCCAAATCAGGCAAAACAGGCAGATTGAGTTGCTCACAGAATCATTCAGTGATCTATCTATCTGCCATCGGCTAGCTCGGTCTCTCAAATTTGCTTGCCGTGAGTCTGCACTGAATTTGCTTGCAAGTAAACTTTCAGTCCTAAGGGAGGTTCCGCTATGCTGAGCCGAAGATCTAAGGACTGGCTAGAAAGCAAGAAATCCAACCATTTCCTGCTTCCTAGCTAATCTAAATCTCCCGGCACAGCAGAACAGATGATGGTCGGAAAAAGGAAAAATAGAAATTTAGCAGGCAAGTTTATCGGATAAGGAGTGAGTGGGCGGGGAGAGTTCCCGCAGGCCATGTGGGTGGCGCAGCCTTGTGTTTCTGCGCAGCCTGGATTAATTGCTTTGTGGGGGTGCTCTGGGGGTGAGATTTCTCTGCGGCCCATCAAAATTTTCTCGTGGCCCACCGGTTGGCCACCACTGCTGTAGAGGATATAACTCACAGCCTCCTGATTGTGAGGTGAGAGCGGCACCTCTGGGCCACTGCACCACTCCTTGTGCCCATTTTTACACTGACCTAGTGAAATGTACAAGTAATCCTCGACAACTGTGGCTGCTCCATCACTGGAGGTTTTTAAAAATAGACTGGACAGCCAGTAAGCGGTTGGATTACAAGACCTCTCAGATCTCTTCCAGCCTTATGGTTCTATATCGTGTTCCTTCCGAGCTTGAACCTGTCTCTATGCTTTGTTTCCCGCAGGATTCCGAGGTGTATCTGGAAGATAAAATCATGTCCAAAAGAAAATGTCTGTTTACTGAGAAGACCAGGCGCAACTATCCTGATTTTCGCAAAGGTAGAGATGACTATGAAGCAGAGTGTTTGGTCTGCAAACCTGGCACCTTTGTGTCAGTCGCACATAAAGGTCCTGGGGACCTGGAGTATCACATGTCCTCTGATAAACACAAGAAAGCACTCAAAGCATACAAGCGAAACAAAGCAATAACACGGGACCGTTGGTGCGCAAAAACAGACTTTTTTGTGGATCCAGACAGTGAAACAGAGGATGCTGTTACTGCAAGTGAGAGCAATTTGGCATTCCACACTGTCACGAATCACAACACTGACAAATCGGTGGATGATCATTCTGACTTGCTGAGACAGTTATTTTCTGAGGCAGACCTAGCTCAGAAATTTTCCAAGGTTCAAACCAAAAGAGAAGGTAATGAACGTTGTGTACTTGCTCCACATATAGACATGGTTGACCTGGAAGAACACGGCATCCCTTTCTGCGGGGTGGCCATAGATGACAGCAGCCATAGGGCCATGAAAATGGTCCCGGTACTCATCCAGTATTACGACTACAGGAACGGCGGCTTGAAGACCAAACTCCTGGACCTTCAGGAAACGGCCACTGAGACGGATGTTTCAGATTCTCTTGTCAAAGCTCTTAAGAAACACAGATTGCTTCAGAAGTGCGTGGCGTTCGCGGGGGACAACTGCAACACCATGTTTGGTGAACTTCGGCAAGATGAAGAGGCGAGGACTGTGTTTGCCCAGCTGAAGAAATCCCTCCAGAGGGAGACGTTGATCGGGGTGTACTGCCCTGCCCACATTTTGCACAACTGCATCCACCACGGAGCAGACGCCCTCGAGGTGGACGTTGAGAACATCATCCTAAAGATCTACCAGTACTTTCACATCTACACGGTCCGGGCGGAATCCCTGCAAGAATACTGCGAGTTTGTGGAGGTGGAGTACAAGCGGCTGCTCTCCCACAGCAAGACTCGATGGCTGTCCTTGTTCCCGGGCATCACGAAGTTGCTCCAGATGCACTCGGCCCTGAAGTCCTTCTTCTTGGGCCAGAGCAACCCGCCCGCCGTGCTCAAGAGCTTCTTTGAGCACGAGTTCAGCGAGCTCTACCTTTGGCACATGCACTCGCTGATGAACGCCTTCCATTTGCACATCGAAGAGATGGAGCGGGAAAATAACTCCCTCGTGGAGGTGATGAAGACGCTGGACTCTGTGCACACCATCCTGCTGGACCGAAGAGCCCAGAACTTCATGTCCCTGACGGTGAAGGGGATGCTTGCAGACAAGCGCAAGGAGGGGCTGGAGGAAGGATGTGACGCCTTCTCCGATGCGGTGCGTCGCCTCTACAGTCATTGCATAGATTACCTGGAGATGTGGATGTCATCTCTGCAAGAGTTTTCCTGCTTCGCGTGGATGGCCCTGAGTGACACACCCAGCTGGAGTGACGTGGAAGCATGTATAACATACTTACGTGAGAAGGGTCTGGAAATTGACAGTATGGAGTGCTTCATTCAGTTCAACAATATGAAAAAATTCATGGAAGCTTCCAGAGATGAAGAGGAGTTCCAACATCTGCTTTCACATGAAAAATGGACTAAATATTTTCTGAATATCAAAGCTGCTGAATGCTATTCAGAACTGTTAAAAATTGTGCAGTTCTTCTTTGCAATTCCCTCCCACGGTCTAAATACTGAGGGCTTCTTATATTAGATGCAACTGCTGTAGACTCCGGTGCAAAGTTGCCTGAACGATCTATGGCGCTACAAGAAAATTTTAGAGAACCTGTTGGAAAAATAGCTGTCCCCTTTTTGATTTGCTCTAATGAGAAATACACATGTATCTAGTGAGAAGAAACAGAGAAAGATTGGGGTAGTTTTTTATTTTTAGCTGACAAGTATTTGGGAATTTGTAAATGCTATATCATGTGACATATTTTAAAAAATTAATTGATGTATATTTTTGTTTAGCCTGTTCCTGCTGTGATGTCTTGGGCCCCACACCAAGTTTCTGTTAGCTGCTATGGAGTCCTTTTGTATTTTTTGCTATACAGGCAGAATAAAAGGTTTGAATGAATGTATTACGCATAATTTAAAGCACAAAATTGTAAAGATTGAAGATGCTTTGTAGGCCGAGATTGTTGGATGATAGGATTGTTACCGAAATGTATATGTAAATTATACAAATATTACAGACAAAACATGCAAATTATTTTGCAAATGTCTTCTTTTTGGGGGGACATTGCAAGTGTGAGTTTGTTACACTCCCAAAAAACAAAATCTATTAGTTTTTATTTCATGAGAGGATGTATTGTGTCCTGAGCAAAACACACTAAACAAGATGGACAAATTCCTGATTTGCTAATTTGTTATTAAACAAAATCTGAAAAACTCAACTTTTTACATTTGGTAAAATGTTCAGTTAAGATTGTAGTCTTTCAGTCCTAAACTAGGGTTTTTTCGCCTTGCAATTTCTCCCCACACTAATTTCCTTCGTGTGTTTCACATCCACTCACATTTTCGCGCCTTTTTCTGACACGCGAGTTTCTCTTCAGGCCTTTTTCTCCCTCGCACCCACAAGCCTCGCTTGGGGACCGTGGGAAACAGGCCCAGTCCCGCCACTCGGGGCAGGAAGGGCGGTAAGAAGAGGGCTGCGGCTCGGGGACTGGGGGAACAGAGTCATTCCGCGGCCGACAGTGCAGGGAAGGGGAACCTTGGCCCTTTTGTGACTTGTGGACTTCAACTCCCAGAATTCGTCAAGCAGCCATGCTCTTTTTCTAGGCGGGGAGGAAAGCGCATGCGCTCAGGAATTCTAGGCGTTGAAGTTCACAAGTCATAAAAAAGCCATGGTTTACCCCTGGTTTACGGGCCCGGTGCCGACCCAGAAAAAGCGTATCTTCCCGAAAAGCCCTTCCCAGATGCTACGGACGAGGGAAGAGCAAGCACCTCCGTCCTTCCCCACTGCCGGGCGCTCAGGGGAAGAAGCCGTCCTCGCTGTTACCTTTGTGTCCGTTCTGCGCGTGCGCGCCGCCTACCGATGCCTACCCCGCGCACAAGTCGGTGGAACGGGGCGGAGACTGACTGCGCAAAGGGCGGAGCGAACGGCAGACGGGCTCGAGAAACCCGCTCCTAGTGTTCTGAGAACCAATCCACGGGCGGGCCTCTTTCCGCCCGGAGCGAGGCTTCCGGAGGCCGCGCGACCATTTTGTTCGTGGTCTCTTCCGTCCCCGCCCACGTCGCGGAAGTGGGAGGCGGAGCTCGCGCCTGGCGGAGGGATACCACTCTCGAGAGGAGTCCAACGACGCAGCGGAACATCACATCGGCAAAGTCCAGAGCGGTTTCTGGAGGCTGCAATGGAGCCGTGGGGAAGTCAGTGCGCATGCGCTAGGCGCTTCCCTCGTGCTTTCTGGGCGTGTTTTGGGGCAGGGATTTGGAAATGAATGCATGTAGTCCTCGACTTATAACCGCTATTGAGCCCAACATTTCGGTTGCTAAGTGCAACGTTGGTTAAGTGCATTTTGCAGCCATGATTTTACAGCCTTTCTTGCCCAAGTTGTTAAGTGAATGTGGCTTCCCCATTGAGTTTCCTTGTCAAAAGGTTGCAATAGGAGATCACCTAACCCCTGCCACCGTCCTAAGTAATTCTTTTGATCACGTGACCCTGGGGAGGCTGCAACGGCCGTAAGTGCGAAAAACGGTCAAGTCCTGTGATCAAAATTCAAGACGCCTGGCAACTGATTCATATTTATGACGGTTGCAGCGTCCCGGGGTTGCGAGATTCCTTTTTGCGACCTGACAAGCAAAGTCAATGGGGAAAGTCAGATTCACTTAACAACGGTGCCACTAACTTAACTGCAGTGATTCACTTAACAATGGTGGCAAGAGAAATCATACAAGGGGGCAAAAGGAGGTCAAGAACATGTTTCACTTCCTTATCCTGGATGTTTCATCAGTTGTATTGGAGATGGAAGGAGGGTTATGGAGAAGTTGGTGCTTTCCGTATGACGTTTTCAGTAAGAAAGTGTAGAAAGTTAGCACTCAACCCTCTTAGAAGAATGAAATATTTTGAGAAATATTTTAAAAAGGCAGAATATTATATTTCTCTAAATGAGAAATGGAGAAACATGGTTTTTTGGGGGGAGGCAAGAAACAGACTCAGTCTTTCTTAATAGCCCCAAAGATACTGTTGGAAGCTACCTTATAATAATAATAATAATAATCTTTATTGTCATATATACAACGAAATTGACTTTGCTTCTGCTGGTGCTATCCATAACAAAAATACAATACAACATGAATAATATAATAATAAATGTATAATAATAATAAATTATTAGTAATAGTAATAAACATGAATAATAATAAACATGGATAATACCGTAATAATAATAAAAGCAGATTTGATAATCCATTTAAGACAGGATTAAAAAAAACCCAATGAAGCCAGCATCTAAGATTAATTACATTTGTTAAACAAGATTTAAAAACCCCAAATCATTGCCTGCCTTTGCAAGACAAACTAATTAAAATCAAATAACACAAACTTGATAACTTTAAGAGTTGTGGACTTCAACTCCCAGAATTCTTCCTCCTTCAGTCATGTTAGCTCAGGAGTTCTGGGAGTTGAAGTCCACAGATCTTAAAGCTGCCAAGTTTGAAAACCCTTGTGAGAGATGATAGAGAGATGATAGATACATACATACATAGATGATAGATTGATAAATAGGTAAATAGCTACAAAGAGAGAGAGAGAGGGAGGGAGAGAGAAGTGATAGACCAGGAATCTTCAAACTTGACAGCTTTAAGACTTGTGGACTTCAACTCCCAGAATTCTTCTTCCTCCAGTCATGTTAGCTCAGGAATTCTGGGAGTTGAAGTCCACAAGTCTTAAACTTGCCAAGTTTGATGATCCGTAACAAAATACACAAAACAAGCCTCTAAATTACAAAGTGCTGTAGAACAAACTATAAAAATCCATGTGCTCATCAAACCAGGTAGTCAGCTCCCCAGAATCACAGGTGCTTGGTGGTCCTGTCCACCATTAAACCATCTTTCCAATCAGCCTCCAGGTTTCCAGTGATAATAATTCATAATTCCTCTGTAGAACTAGATCAGCAGCTCCTTGGGCAGTTTGAGCTTCCTGAGTTGGCGCAGAAATAACATTCTTTGTTGTGTTTTTTTGATGATGTTTTTGATGTTAGGTGTCCATCTTAGGTCATGTGATATAGTAGAATCTAGAAATTTGAAGGTCTCTACTGTTGATGCTGTGTTGTCTAGTATTGTAAGAGGTGGTAGTATGGGAAGGTTTCTTCTAAAGTCTACCACCATTTCTACAGTTTTGAGTGTGTTCAGTTCCAGATAGTTCCAGTTAAACCACAGGGCAAGTTGTGTAACCTCCTGTCTGTATGCAGATTCATCGTTGTCTCGAATGAGACCAATCACTGTTGTGTCATCAGCAAACTTCAGTATTTTAACAGATGGAATGATAATTTATGATAATATATTACTCACTAATGATAAATAATTGTAAAAATTAATTAATCATTTAGTAAGATCAGTTAATCAATTAAACAGAGTTATATTGGGAAAAATTAGGGCAGGAAGAGAATAATGGGAGGAAGAGAAGAAAATTTGGTTGGATGGTCCTGGGGGGTATAGGAAGAGGGCATATATTAGGTTGGAAGTATAGATTAAAGTCTTTGGGCAGAAGGTTAATCTTCACTCGTTACTTCAGATCATCAGCTAGCAATCTTAGGGATTAGGTCTGTCTTCTCACGGATCTCCTTGTCTTTGGTCAGCGATCTTAGAAATTAGGCTACTGCATGAATTAGCAGGGCTGCGCTCTGAGATCAGGACTCCGATGTGGGATTTGACAATCACAGACGATCGATGATGTAGGCAGCCTTTAGAACTTTAGAACCCGCCTCACAGAAATGGTGGTGATGAAGGAGTTGCTCTTCCCTCAAAATGGCCGACGGACCCATTCTGGCCTTCTGCAGCTTTTGTCCCTTATGTGGGAAGCCACCAAGTCTCCCTTTGGGCAGGGGTGGCCCCAAAGTCATAAAAATAAAATAATAAAATAAAAATTCTCTGAGACTGGAAAAAGTGCAAAGAAGAGCAATTAAGATGCCTGGAGACTAAAACATATAAAGAACTGTTGCAGGATTTGGGTTTGTTTGGCCAGTCTAGAGAAAATGTTGAGGTATTTCCCGTTAGGAGAATGAGTGCACTCAGGGAAATGTAGTAAGAGTGGTGTTGAATAGCACACAACCACCATACAGATACACTGAATAGTAAAATGTAGGTTTTACTTCCAGTAAACGGGTAAACAAAGTCCAACAAACAGTCCAAATCATACACGGTTAAAGCAGGTAGTATTCAACACAATCAGTCCAGGGATAATCCAAAAACGAAGTCCAGTATCATAAACAAAGTTCAGTAAATGGAGTTTCCTAACAGTTTGCAAGACTCACAGCAATTCCAGCAGACCAACGATCAGGCAAAAGGCAATAAGGAAATGCAAGAAGAGAACAAACCAGGTTTCTGGCTCCATCTTATGGCCGTATAGTTCTCCTCCTTGAGCAGGGGGTTGGACTAGAAGACCTCCAAGATCCTTTCCAGATCTATTCTGATTAATTTCATTAGCCTGCATCTTGTCATGCTTTTCAAGAGTAGCTTTTCCTCCTCTCCTTTTCTTTTCCTTCCTGGAACAACCAACCAACCAACCAACCAACCAGAATAGAGCTGGAAGGGAACTTGGAGGTCTTCTAGTCCAACCCCCTGCTCACTACTGTGAATTACTATAAACACTATCATGGATTATTTTAAGCACTACCATGGATGATTGTAAACCATGCAAAACGGTTAGTCTAATCTCAGCTAAGGCAGCAAATGGGGCGGAATGGGTTTAAATGCTGGGTGTGTTTGCTATCTCAGGTTAGATCAGCTGATCAGCTGGTCAAGTGGATCAGCTGTTCTTATCTTCCAATTATTGACTTAATAATTCGTTCACTTGATATATGGGCAAATAACGATGGGCAAATAAGGTGCAGATAATGATCTGCAAACATTCCCATGATTTGCTGCCATTCCGGGCTATATCTGTCAGCACCATGCCAGGTTCGGTTCAGTGCGAGTGTTGGGGTTGCCTGCTTGCTCAGCTTGTGCTCCTGCCAGCCTCTCTCTCTCTCTCACCAGCCCCATGGCGCACTCCCAGCTGCCTTGCCCTCTCTTCCTCCTCTGCTCCTTCGTGATGCTGCCCTCGGTGCTGCTGCAGGAGGTGCCAATGCCTGGGGGTCCTATTCCTGTACCCGTCACAACTGAGGAGGTCAAAAAAGCTGCCGCCTTCGCTGGAACAATTCAACAAGCGCAGCAATAATGCCAACTATTTCAAGGAGCTGCGTATTGTGAAGGCACGATCCCAGGTATGTGTGTGAGAGACAATCGGGGTAGGTGGACAGCCTCTGTGGGGTCCTTTGGTATACTCTGAGCTTGATTGTTTTCTTGAAGATGTTTCATTACCAAGCTAGGTAACATCATCAATGCACTGATGGATATTCCAAAGTTTTGGGGAAAGGGTTTTGGAGGGGAAATGGGGAGGGGGTGGCACTGGAGGCATTTAGGGGTGGGTGTTGCAGGGAAGGACTCTATTGTGTCTTGAGCAAATTGTGAGCTGAAAGGACATAACTATTTGGTACAGAAATATTTCCCGCCGAGCTGATTTTCTTGCTCTCAAGCTATATAATACTTCTGAGGTTGCCATTGATGAAATTAAGCATGGTTCAGAACTTATGCATTATGACTATTTTTGCTGTGATTACCTAATCATTGTGGTACCTATTTTTAAAATCCAGGTGGTTGCAGGATGGAAATACTATCTTATGGTGGAAGTGGGGCAAACGGTGTGTGGAAAGAGCAGTGGGCCACTGTCATTCAGCGATATCCAGAAATGTGATCCCTTCTCCGGGATCAGCAGGAGGTGAGTTTAGATGCCTAATTCTGATTATATTTTTGCAGCTGGGTTGATGAAGTCGGCCTTGTCTCAGCTTAGCAGCCACTTCTCTAAACCAGATTTCAATGCATATCATAGATGGTTTCTATTCATAGAGCATAATAAAACAAAGAAATGTGAAGACAAATTATAACAATGAATATTATGAGTTTCAGCGTGGATAGTGGAGAGCCCCTCACCTAGAGCATCTCACAGCATCATAACTGGGTAATTTCTTTCCCTAGGTATTTGTAGGTATTTCCCAGCTGACAATCTGCACGAAATTAAATGCGCGAAATCATAAACAACTTTTTGGTATATTATCTTTTTTTCTATCTTAAGCACTGACTCTCTGGGTTTCTCTCTTTTTTCTCTTCCAGAAACTAACCTGTAACTTTGACATCTGGTCCTGTCCTTGGATGTTAAGCATGAGCTGTTCCAGATTACTGGATGGCTGAGGTGGACCTCGTGTGCCGAGACCAACATGGGCAAATGATCCTAAGTGTGTCCAGCTGCCAAGGAACCCCTTGGGTGCAGCTTGGTTTCTTCCAAACAAGATCCCATGTATAGCCATTCGCAAATCGTGAATGAAATGGTTTGTTGACATCCAAATTCACCTTTTCTGACTTTCTGAAATTGTTCCATGACATACATGGGGGCCTTTTCTTGCTCCTCAATTCCATCCTCACCTTCGAGAAGGCAAAAATCAATATTCTGTTAATTCCGTTAGTCTTAATAAAGCTGTCATCATGAGAGCTCCGGCGTGTGTTCCTTCCTTGTCCAAATCCCATCCAACCTTCGTATTTTCACACCCACAGCACAATGCTATAATGGCTTGTTCAAGAAAGCCTCTCCCTAGAAAGACTTTGCTTTGTCCAGCTGTGGGAAATAGGGGTCTGCCGTGGGCTTTTGCTTTGCCCTTCCATGTGTCATGGCTGCCTTCAGTGGTGGTGTTATGGCCCTGGTGGAAACTGACTCTGAGGGAGAGGAGGAACAACCAACAGGGAGTGGAAATGTGTCTCTGGAGGTTGTGGAGGAGGCTGGGGAAGGGCAGAGGCTGGCTGGGCAGTCAGAGGAGGACTCAGGCCTGTCCCTTCTCCACCCTAGGGCATGCAGGGAGGAACAGAGAAGGGAGCAATGTGAATGACGTGGTCTACGGGGGAGGAAAGGGCCTTGATCCCCTTCATGGGCTGTAGCTGTGACAACTGAAGAAGAGTACGGGCGAACGCTGGAAACAAAGCATGGAAATATCTCTAGTTTATGGTTCCTCTCTGAGTTTGGCGTTCTTCCTGGTGCGTGTTCTGTTATCTGTGGATGTCCTCCAGCCCTTATCTTGCCTGGTTTGTGTTGTTTTTTACTCTTTATAATTTAAATGGAATTTCCTCCTTCTGGTAACTGCTCATGTGGGAGTTTTTTGTCTACAGTTGTTGGAAATGAATCCAAATGACAAAAACTTGGATCGGTGAAAACACAGAGAATGTATTGTTAAGCTGTTTGCAAAGAGCGGTAGAATCTCAGCTGACCTCAACATGAAGTTTGAGCCAAGAACCACACCTTAAGATTTCAATACATTACATTTTATAGTTCTTCTATGCCGACGCCCCCCCCATGCCCCTCCTACATTGACCCAGTGACCGAGTACAGCTAATCCAAGGTGCCTTATGGAGACCACATCATCTCCTTTGATACCTCCCAATGACCTCCCATCACATCTTATCTTACTTGGCATTCAAGAATGTTCCTTCAGCATGTTCCTTCTTTCTAAAGGTCTGAAAACAAAGTAATATCTATTCCTAACACCACACTTGTTACATATTAATGTTACATTCAGCACATCTTCGCAAAACAACATGCATCTCTAACGTATTCACCTATGCAAAGTAAAAGTCTGGTAAACTTAAGCAGATGCTTTGAAAAACAAAATCTAACTTCAATTGATTAAAGAAAGTTAGGGCAATGGTTTATGTCTTATCCTATTGTCCTCCTAATCCTGGAGGAAATAGGGGTGGCATTACTTGATTCAGGAGGATGTAATAGATTGCAGGTACATGTTTAACAATGAGTAAATGTATTAAAAATATATATTTACAGGCTACATCAAAATAGTAAATGTCTATAGAGCAACTGTCTTCTCAATTTTCTTATTTCTAACACAGTCAAGGATATTTGGAGCTTGGAAGCAAAGTGAAGGAATAAAAGGGGCTTCACCTGTTTTTTGTGACTGTGCTTATTTTGTATCCCATCCTGGGTCCTCACAGGTGGTGTAGGAAGTTAGCACCCACCCCTCTCCTAGAAAAATGAAATATCCTAGGAAATATTAAAAAGGCAAAATATTTCCCCTAAAAAGAGTAGAAACTCAGAAGCAGAAGCTCACCCCACCTTTGTTAATGGGTGGGCCATTAAGGCCTGGGCCAGAATATTTTACATAACAAAGATCTACTCCAGGTAGAGCTATAATAGGAATTGTCCAAGGCCCTTTTCATTACATCATCATCCAGCAAGGCTCAACCAAGCCTGACACTCGGGACAGCCTAGTAGAGTTGCCCCTGCATGGCCCCATGGGAGCCTGACAACCAATCAGAATACAAGCTCCAATTCAAATCCCACAGAGGGTATATAAGGGACTCTCAGCATCTCAGCCCTCCCTTCTTTTCCTTCACCCAACCTCTTGAAGCATGTGATCATCCTTTTCACTTTGGAGCTCCAAGCCATGGGGTCCTGACCACCATTAAAACATCTTTCCCAACAGCCTCCCTGTTTCCAGCGTCTTTTCCCCCAACTTGGAACTGAACCCAGAAGGATAATTCTTCCAACAGTGGGATTCAAATTTTTTTTACTACTGGTTCTGTGGGCGTGGCTTGTTGGGCGTGGCAGGTGGAAGGATACTGCAAAATCCCCATTCCCTTCCCACCCCACTAACCTACTTTCCAGCTCCGTTTTCCTGTGCAGGGCAACCAAAGAAGACCCAGCCAATCAGCTGGGACTCGGGAGGTGGAGAATAGATGGAGGCGGGGCCAGTCAGAGGCGGTATTGGCCGGTTTTCCAAACTACTCAACATTTCCGCTCCCAGTTCTCCAGAACTGATTAGAACCGGCTGAAGACCACATCTGGCTGCCTCCTATCCAAGCTTCGTAAGCTGACAGCCTGACATTAGCAACTGGGGAGGGGAAGATTGGTCTGTAAGAACAAAGGTGGTGGTGGTGGGGGTGGGGGAATAGAAGCCTAGCTAAGCTTTGTGAGAAGCTTCAGTCAACCAAGGTCAACTATGGATATGCAGAGCTCAGCTACGTTTGAGGGCCCAGGTGGGTTTACTGGAACCTGAGAATTCTCTGGATGGAAAGAAAATCCAAGAAATTGACCCACATGCCCTCCAAACAGCTGACATTTACAAGAAAGTCACAAAATTGAGGGTTTGTTTTGCCATTGCTTGGTGAGTGATCAGCCGGGAGGCAGAGTGTCCATCAAGGTCCTTGGTGCTCCCTGAGCCTTGTTTTCTTCTCATTACCCAACTAGAGAACATCATCAGTGCTAGAAGAGAGTGGGGTTTGTGGAGAAGAAGAAGAGGAGGAGGAGGACGAGGACGAGGAGGAGGAGGAGGAGGAGGAAATGACTATGGGATCCTTGATGTTCTCTCAGTTTGGTTGTTTCATTACCCAACTAGGTAACATCATCAGTGTTATCCCAAAAGTGTTTTTTTCCCCCCAACTGGACTTTCGGTGTTTTTTTAAAAGACATTTCGCTTCTCATCCAAGAAGCTTCTTCAGCTCTGACTGAATGGTGGATAAATTATCTGTTTTATGAGTTGGTTCTTCTCTTTAGCCACTAGAGTGTGCTATTCAACACGCTAAAAGAAGAAGTGGCACAGCGTAACTTTTATTTTTTTAAAAATGGTTCTAATCCTAAGAAGCTTTTTAGCCATTTTTTGACTTCTTAGCTGAATGCATCTAGAACGGCACATATTGAGCTTGGTTATTGCTGTTGTTATTTTGGTGATCTCTTCTGCTTTCCTGAAGTTACACTGTCAGTGCAAATGGTCACCAGATACAGATGAACAGAATTGGAAGGGACCTTGGAGGTCATCGAGTCCAACCCTCCCCCTGCCCAAGCAGGAGGCCCTTCATACCATTTCTGGCAGATGGCAGTCCAGTCTCTTCTTGAAAGCTTCCTTGGGTGAAACTCCCAAAATTTCTATCATTGAATTTAATTTTTTTGCATAAAAATAGAATAGAATTCCTTATTGGCCAAGTGTGGTGGGACACACAAGGAATTTGTCTTGGTGCATCTGCTTTCAGTGTAAATAAAAGAAAAGATACATTCGCCCAGAGTCAAGAATCCTAAGGTACGTCATGATAGTCATAGGGTACAATAAGCAATCAATTCATACTAGAAAACAGTCAGTACAAATCATAAGGATACAAGCAACAAAGTCACAGTCATACAGTCACAAGTGGGGAGGGGATGGGTGATCAGGAGTGATGAGAAGATTAATAGTAATAGTAGTGCAGATTCTGTAATAGTTGAACAGTGTTGAGGGAACTATTTGTTTAGCAGAGTGATGGCGTTGGGGAAAAAACTCCCCTTGTGTCTAGTTGTTCTGGTGTGTGGTGCTCTATAGTTTCGTTTTGAGTAAAGGATTTGTAACAGTTTATGTCCAGGATGTGAGGTGTCTGTAAATATTTTCACAGCCCTCTTTTTGACTCGTGCAGTATACTGGTCCTCGATGGAAGGCAGGTTGGCAGCCATTGTTTTTTCTGCAGTCCTAATTCCTCTCTGGAGTCTGTGTCTGTCCTGTTGGGCTGCAGAACCAAACCAGGCAGTTACAGAGGTGCAGATGACAGACTCAATATTTCCTCTGTAGAACTAGCAGCTCCTTGGGCAGTTTGAGCTTTCTGGGTTGGTGCCGTTGTAGCCGTTGTCTGAAGGCCTCTTCTGCCTGTTTCTAACCCATACGGTCCTGGACTTTTCTTTGCCAGTTGGGCCCTCCATACTTGCTGATATTGCCAATCCATCTCATTTTAGGTCTCTTTCATGCATGCTTTTTAATCCAGTGGGATCCATTCTACAACTGCCTTGGCCCCCTGCCATCGGTTCTTCTTGCTACAGGAGCAGCCCGTTTCTGTCTCCATTCTTTTACTCTCTCGACAGGACAAGAAGTAATGGGTGGAAGCTTGTCAAAGACAGATCCAATCTAGAAGTAAGGAGCAACTTCCTGCCAGGTAGAACAAATAATCAGTGGAATGGCTTCCCTCTAGACCTTGTGGGTGATCCATCCCTGGAGGTATTTAAGAAGAGATTGGACAGCCGTTTGTCTGAAATGATATAGACCCATGATGGCAAACCTATGGCACGCAAAGCCATTTGTGCCAGCACGCGGGCTGCAGGCAAACCTACCTCACTGCGCATACATATGCCTCACAGCTGAGTTTTAGCCAGTTTGAGGCCTTTTTCAGCCTCCCAAAGACTTGAGCAAGGCTTCTGCAGGCTTTGCAGGTTAAAAACTAGCCCTGTTTCATCACTTCCTGTTTTTCCGAAAATACCAGAAGTGATAAAACGGGGCTAGTTTTCAGCCTGCAAAGCCTGCAGAAGCCTTCCTGAAGCCTCTGGGAGGCCTAAAAAGGCTGAAACCAGCTGAAAATCAGTTGTGAGGTGTAGTGTAGATAAGAGGGATGTGGCTTGGTGGGTGAGGATTGCGCATGCATGCATAGGGGGTGTGGGGGGGTGTATTGCCTTCTGGGTGCTGGCACACGAG